CTAAAAGACGCGGGTTTGGTCCTTAAGCGGGCCATGTTTACGCAATTCCGATGCTCAAAGACGCGGGGCTTAAGCGGGTCATGCTTATGCAATTTCGATGCTCCCGGGTTTGGTCCTCAAGCGGGCCATGTTTTCACCAAATCAAAGTTGAGGGTTGAGATGGGCACCCTTCCAGGGCACTCTGGCTAGTCATTTTTTTGCATGTTTAAAATTGTTTTGATCATAGTGAATCATGTTTAAGTATAAAGTTGTCACAAATAGGATTTAAACTGATTAGGAATTACTCAAATAAAAATAAAATGACTCAAAAGTGACTAGACATGATTTTGAACAAAATTCACCAACGGGTAAAAGTATGAGTGAACCAAAAGTGTTTTCACGGGGGCATCCACGAGTGAAGCCACGAGTGAAGTTGCAGTGAACTTGCAGACAAAATGAAAGTTCAACAAAGCCCTCTACGATAAGTTGACGAGTCGAGCAACAAATCAACTTACAAAACACAATGAAATATGTACTAAGTACAAACGGTTCCTTTACGATAATCAACGAGGCCAGGAGCAGTGTGCTCCTGGCCTCGTTGAAAGCTTCTGAAACTAGTAAGTTTTGGCTGAAGAGCTCTGTGCTGGCAGGGATTGTGACAAAGTAAAGTTTTTGAAGCTAGTCAAGTTTTGGCTGAAGGCATTGAGTATTCTTTTTGAAAGTAGTCAAGTTTTGGCTGTGCTGGCAGGGATCGCAAGAATATTGCAAAACAAAGTAATATTTTTTGCTGAGCACTGTGCTGGCAGGGATTGTTACTGTAAGATTTTTAAATCTAGTCAAGACGCGGGTGTGGTCCTTATAGGCGGGCCATGTTTACGCAATTTCGATGCTCAAAGACGCGGGTTTGGTTCTTAAGCGGGCCACGTTTATGCAATTTCGATGCTCAAAGACGCGGGTTTGGTCCTTAAGCGGGCCATGTTTACACAATTTCGATGCTAAAAGACGCGGGTTTGGTCCTTAAGTGGGCAATGTTTATGCAATTTCGATGCTAAAACACGCGGGTTTGAGCTTAAGCGGGCCATGTTTACGCAATTTCGATGCTCAAAGACGCGGGTTTGGGCTTAAGCGGGCCATGTGTGGGCTTAAGCGGGCCATGTTTACGCAATTTCGATGCTAAAGGACGCGGGTTTGGTCCTTAAGCGGGCCATGTTTATGCAATTTCGATGCTAAAAGACGCGGGTTTGGTCCTTAAGCGGGCCATGTTTACGCAATTTCGATGCTAAAAGACGCGGGTTTGGGCTTAATTAAGCGGGCCATGGCTTCGCAATTTGATCCTTAAGCGGGCCACGTTTACGCAATTTCGATGCTAAAAGACGCGGGTTTGGGCTTAAGCGGGCCATGTTTACGCAATTTCGATGCTCAAAGATGCGGTTTTTGCCCGAAAACGGAAAGCTTAAACGGGTCCGGGTTAAGAAGGCAGAAGGGGGGGGGGGTCGGTGGAGCGCTTGAAGGCCAGCCCCGAATGAGGAAAGTTATCATGTGGACTTGGCTCCGGCCCTGCTGCGCAGACCCCCCGGGGGTCAGGTGCTCTACGCGTGGCCTGCTTAGGGCAGCGCTATTTGCATCGAAAAGGGCAAGGGTCTCGGCCTTGAGCGGGCTATGTTTACGCAATTTTGATGCTCAAAGACGTCCTTAAGCGGGCCATGTTTACGCAATTTCGATGCTAAAAGACGCGGGTTTGGGCTTAAGCGGGCCATGTTTACGCAATTTCGATGCTCAAAGACGCGGGTTTGGTCCTTAAGCGGGCCATGGCTACGCAATTTGGTCCTTAAGCGGGCCATGTTTACGCAATTTCGATGCTAAAAGACGCGGGTTTGGGCTTAAGCGGGCCATGTTTACGCAATTTCGATGCTCAAAGATGCGGTTTTTGCCCGAAAACGGCAAGCTTAAACGGGTCCGCGTTAAGAAGGCAGAGGAGGGGGGGTCGGTGGAGCGCTTGAAGGCCAGCCTTGAAAAAGGAAAGTTATTATGTGGACTTGGCTCCAGCGCTCTATGCGTGGCCTGCTTTGGGTTGCGCTATTTGCATCGAATAAGGAAAAGCCATGTTTACGCTATATTCGTGCCCAAACGCTCTGCGGACGCGCTCGTGCATTCGCCAATGCGACAAATGTATGCAAATATAGTGGCTGTGTCATTAAGAATACATAAACGCGCAGCGCCGCAGCGCGCTGCGAGCGCGCTGCGAGCGCGCTGCAAGCGCGCTGCGGGCGCGCTACGAGCGCGCTGCGAGCGCGCTGCGCGGACGTGCTGTGGACGCGCTGCGGGCGCGCTGCGGACGCGCTGCGGACGCGCTCGTGCATTCACCAATGCCATTCAAATTGAAATATGACTGCTCTTTTATACTATACTGGCTGTGTGCATGCTTCATAGTCTTGTTTAGCCCAGCGCGCTGCGGGCGCGCTACGAGCGCGCTGCAAGCGCGCTGCGCGGACGCGCTGCGGACGCGCTGCGGACGCGCTCGTGCATTCACCAATGCCATTCAAATTGAAATATGACTGCTCTTTTATACACACTACTGGCTGTGTGCATGCTTCATAGTCTTGTTTAGCCCAGCGCGCTGCGGACGCGCAGCGGACGCGCTGCTGACGCGCTGCGGACGCGCTGTGGACGCGCTGCGGACGCGCTCGTGCATTCACCAATGCCATTCAAATTGAAATATGACTGCTCTTTTATACACACTACTGGCTGTGTGCATGCTTCATAGTCTTGTTTAGCCCAGCGCGCTGCGAACGCGCTGCAGACGCGCTGCGGACGCGCAGCGGACGCGCTGCGGACGCGCTCGTGCATTCACCAATGCCATCAAACTATATATGACTGCTTTGCAAATACGGGCTGTTAAAAAATATTGGCTGTGTCCTTCAATACGTTACTATAGTGTCTTGTTTAGCCCAGCGCGCTGCGAACGCACTCGCGCATTTACCAATGCCATCAAACTATGACTGCTTTGCAAAAACGAACTGTAAAATACTGGCCGTGTCCTTCAATAAATATAGTCTTGTTGAGCCCAGCGCGCTGCGAACGCGCTGCAGGCGCGCTGCGGACGCGGTGGCCATCACCTAGATTTAGTTTCTCGAAAAGCAGCCCGTGAGGAGGTATGGCGCTAGCAGTGAAATAGTTGGCTATACAATTAATGGGCATCACGGCATCAACCAAACTTTTCTACCTTTGTGGAGGATATGTCTGGCTGTAGGTTGTGTTACATGTATACAAAAGCGCGTTTTTCTACCTTTGTGCCCTTTATATGCCTATGTCATTGTGTGCAACCCTGTAGTAACAAGGGCATCGCTACTAGTCATCAAAGTCACTCTACCCATCCCTGCCGGCCCATGATGACCATGATGACATGGACGCGAAGTCGCGGCGTTTTTTTTGGGGGTGGATGGGTGCGGTGAATGTGTCAGCAGGTTGCTGTACGTTGAGCAGACGTGCGCCTCCTCCCAAACATGGCTTGGTGGAACAGGGCCACGTCTCAGTTCTTCTTCAGTCTTCATGGTTGCCATACATCCAACATGGCATTCTGCGTCGCAAACGCTCGCAGCAAAAGTGACCCTTCACTGGTAGAAGGGGTGTAAACACTGTAAAATTGAGAGCCAGAAACACTTCACCTGGGCCTGAGCCCCCAACACTGCTCCCAACCATAACACCCATACTTGTTTGCTTTCAGTCTAGAGTTTTCCGGCAGCCCGGACTCGACCAGTGGAAGGATCTGCACCAAGCTTCGCATCACTGATGTTGACAAACTACCATCACTCCTTCACCAAGCATTTGATCTTTTGAGACGATCTGCGACCCTGAAGGATCTGCATGACTCTAGTTCAACCTCCCATGCAAACAGCTCTACCAAGCGCAGGGAAAGTGTGGGGATGTTCCTGGCTTTGGGTGCTTGGCTTTGAACCACAGTAGATCAACTTCAACCGCGGATCTTCGGACTATTCTAGTTTTCATGGATGGTCTGGGAATGCTGGTGAGTCAAATTGCCCGTCACCTCGACAGCCTCTTGGGGAAAAACAATAACACGCGCTCCTTTTTTGAAAGGGAAAGGGTGACATTCTGTTCTTCGACCGAATGTAGCATTCCCCCGAACACTCCGAGACAAAGGGAGAGGGCGAATGAGCCAGCAATCGAGACCCAAGGGATGTGCGAAATAGGAGTACGGACGGGTCTAATAAGCCAGCACTTCCTTCCTTCAGCCTGGACAGTGCAAAAGCCTTGGTACATGAGGGGCTTTGCACCAGCTACTGTCAACCTGATCTAGCACCATTATATCCTATATATATATAAACTGGGTTACTCCAACTGCCTTAGTAACAGTATATTTGTCTCTTGCCCCCAACACCGAAGTTTCCTGGTCAATGGGGTGATTGTTGTCCTTCCACTGCAAAGACCATCGGACAGACTAAAGTTACGTTCTCTGACGAATCAGGACACATCCGGACAGGGCCGCTTCTCCGACCCCCGATGCTGCGTCGGATTCCACTTGATCTCCGTCGGGCCAAGCGAATAAAAACAACTCCCTTGTCAAAGGCAGCCCCCCCAGAACGAACGATTGCAGCAAGTTCTTTGTTCAACTTGACTAGCCTGACTCGCCTGACTCCAAAGCGGAACTCAAATGCGACCCTTGTTTAAACTGCTTGTGCCAATGGACTGACCGAACGGTGAGATGGCCGCTCCTTCTTGGATATGTCTTCAAGTGACTCATGTATTGCGAGGATATGACAAGCGCAGGGCCCAGGGGTAGAAGCCTCTGGAGTATCGTTCAGGAGCAAATTGCTTGCCATTTAGGTCTGTGATCTCGCTGTCTCCCTCGTCACTGACTTGTGCAGGTCAGAAAACAGACGTTCTTTATCTGCTAGAAATTTGCGAACACCTGCCCTAATAGACCCACAAACAAGAGCCCCTTCAATTGGTTAAAAAGTTCATATCTGTCATGCTGGGGATCCAGTTGTGTTTTGTTTTTTCTGGGTTGTGCAAAACCTGAAGAAACCTCCACATGGAAGATGCAACTTTAGGTGTCCTGTCTTCGTTGGGGTGATGTTGTAGAACCTTCAACTACACGTTCGTTAGGCTTGCTCTCCAATGTTCAGGAGGTCTTCTTGTCTTGTTTCTGCAACCGAGAACTACTGTACTCCTTGGTGGCTTTTTGGTACACCCATACCCGTGATTCCTCAACAATGTCTCTTGCTGCCATCCCAAATAACACACTTTATGTATGGTTGTTTCATAGGTGCCCTTGTCCAGCTGACCCATGGTTACAAACCAATCTCAAAATTTGGCGGCACAAGGACATTCCTCAGACTTCAGCTTGCTGAGACTCTTTAGGCTTCAATCAACCGCCAGGTGGATCCAGCTACCAGTGACTGCGCTGGTTTGAAAGAAAACATCAAGCTTCAACCCTAGTCCTAGAGGGGTTTCTGGTTCCTTACATAGAAGTGTTACAGTAACTGCCCCATGCACATCTGAACTCCAGTCGCAACCACGTCACCAACCTCACCGTCACGCACTCCGCATCTGGCTGCGATCCGCTACGACGCGAAGAGGCTCAGGAAGTCAACGTCCAAAGACGTGGGAAACCTCGGGACGTCCCCGCTCCCCGGCTCGGGGCTCGCTTACCGGTCCCCCGGCTCCGACGGTCCCAAGGGGTCAGAAGGGGCGCTTCACGGGTTTTGGGTGTGTTTTTGTGTCTTTTTGTCCGAAGAGTAAAGGTCCCAAGAAACGTCGAAAGCGAGACAAATCGTGGTCGAAACGCTGGTTTTTACATGAGTGGTTCCGTGTTTCTGGTGGGAATGAACCTGGTTCCACTCGGCAGCCTGTGTGACTGTGTGAGGAGTTAAACATTTACCTGATGTTTCATGGTTTAGGATTCAAAAAGTTCTACAGAAGCACACCGTGGACAACAATTTCGTAAAGCCCCTCCTCCCCCAGTGTCAGGTGCGACCAGGACTAGCATCTACAAACAGGACAACAAGGGAGGCTGGCAACTACACCATACCACCCCCCAACACAGCTTCAGCAGTTAGTTTTGTTGCCCCTTGAATCTGATTTCTCCCAAAAAAGAAGGCACGCCTTCACCGTTCAGAACGCTGGGTTCATTCCTTGCTTTTAATCCTACTCATCGCTTCGCTCTTCTTGCTGGATCGCTGGATCTTGGGTTGGTGAGTCTCAAAGTGTGAACCTGTGCCATCCTACTGTGCTTCTTCTTTCACAAAAGAAACCTCATGCTTCGTGCCATCCGACTTTATTGGTGAACACAAAATAGCGATACTATATAGCAATGCAAAATTCATCTAAACAATAGCACAACCCACTTAATTACCTTGCAACACACTGAGCATCTCCTCCCTCCACACCCTGCCGCCCAGCCACGGCATCCTCTCGCCGCCCGTGTGCCGCACACCTTCCCTCGGGTGCGCAGCTCCACCAGAGCCGCGGGAGCCCACGCTGGCGCGGCTCGCGCCATGGGAGCGGGTCACAATGACCTGTGTGGCGATGTGGCCGGTGGCAGTCGGCGACTCGGGGGAACGAAGGAATGCCCGCTTGCTTCTGAAACCTGGAGTTCCTGCCGTGGAGTGGCCAAAACAAAGCGCTGCTACACTGGCGGGCGGTGCCCAACGAGTGGAAAAAATCATTGATCACTGATCAGGTCACTTCCCAAATATGTACAAGCGACCAGGTTGCCTCGCCCACATTGGGCGACTCGAATCCTCTGCGTACGTACAGAAGTGAACCAGGTTTCACCAAAGACCGGTGATCCAAATGGATCCGAGGTTGGAAAGGGATCTCTTAACCATGGGAAAACACTAGGGTTCAAAGCTCAACGAAAACGCCACAACCACGCCACAAAATAGACGAGTAAAACACCGATGATTTTGTGCAAAGTGAACTCGTTTTGAGGGAGCTATCTATATTCAAAGTCTCCATTCTATTCTTACAGAACAAGACCTCAAGGTGAATTTCCAATATATATGATGTCTCACTCCTCTCTTCTGACCTCTCCGTCCCCTCCTCACTCCGTCCTCTCCTCACCGACCTCTTCCGGCCTGGGGAGGCGTGGCGTCTCCACGGCGGAAGTTGGGGTGAAGCACATGGTCGTCCACCTGGGTCGAGCAGTGCGGTGGCACAGTCGGGTCACTCCTCCCACGACTCCCACGTCCGCTTTGAGGCAAAACACCCCCGTTTCGGCTGGTCCGGGTGATGACGGTCATAACGTGTGGGGACATATATTGTGACATAAGTAATTGAAACTTCTCCATCTTCAAGCCAGCTCGACCAAACGATGCGTTTTCTTCCTGACTTATCCTCTTGTGTCCAGATGTGTCCAGGTGGTATGGCTCAGCAGGTCACCCGTCCGCAACTCCGACGCAAGTTGCACCATTCAGTCTGCTTTGGGGATATACCAACCAAGCCCAAGCCAATCCATTTCTGGAACACCCCCAAGCCATATGCCATAGCCGTACCCTTCTCAACCACCCCTGGCCATTTTCTGGAGTCTATGCCTCTGGGATATGGCTGTGGCTCATAGCACCACGGTTGACCTAGCGACCTACGGAAGGTCATTCTTTTTTCACGGCAAAGGGTGGACTGGTTGGGCTACAGGTGGGTCACGAACCATCCCCATATGGCTTCTTTTGGTTCCAATGGATTTCACAGAGCTTTCTATGCGTAGGTTTTGACGTACTATCCCCATATAGACCCAACCAAAGCGAAGCCAACGAGACAACCACCACGAGAGAATCTTCCCTCGGTGAAACGGCCGCCAACGGCGTAACAGCGTAACGGCCCATAATAAACCTCATCCAAATCGAATCAGCCCCTTCAACGCCAATTCTCCAAGATCTCCAACTCAATCTCTCTGAACCTCAAAAGCAGATGTCCAAACTTCAACGACCACGCCCTCCGCGTCACCTCCACGTCTTCCATCTGCATCTCCTGACCATGCCCTCTTGGCCGCCGGGTGGGCGGCGTGCCCCCACACCTGAAGAACCAACGATGCAGCGACCGGGACCCTGCGTGGACCGCTGCGTGGACCGTGCTCAGCACGGTCAACATTGGAGTTTGCTGGGATTGAGGGGACAATCTCCAGGGTCAACTGTCTATTGTGAATGGAATTGTGAGGAGCTGCATCCCGGGCATGTCAAGATGTCAGATCCACTCGTCTTGGCAGGTGGGAGGCTATGTTCCACGGTGTTCCACGGTATGGCGTGGAGTGGATACAATGTCCAGACCTTTGACTACAACGTTCCCCACCACTTCCGAGGCAGTCGAAAACGCTTTGCCACAAGCTGGTGCAAAGGAGGTGTGAAGGGGGGTTCCGAACGGCCAAACAACGACTCGGCAAAAACACATGAAGGGATGGCCAGGGGCAGGCCATGGATGTTCCACTGGTTCATGGGCACTAGGAGACTCATGCTGTATATTGAATGACATTCTCCCTGGACCTTCTTTCGGGGTGTCTTGTCTGGAGGTGCCCTTAGTGGTGTAGTGTAGGGGCTTCCGTTGGTAACCCCTTTGTAGGTGCTGGTATATATATTGCATACTATCACCCCGGCCAAGAACGCCTATTCACACAAACGTGTCCTCATGCATAAACACAGCAAATCACTCGGATGACAAAGTAATGGCGACGAATTGTTGTCTCGTGTTTTGGCAGAAACACCCAACATCCAACAAAAAGAACCTTGACCGTGAAGTAACTACAGTCAACGATTGATCCAATAAAATATTGATCCAAACTTCAGCCCACATCTGGAAACAAACGACAGCTTGACAATCTCCCAAAAGTTCCCATGACTAGAGAAGTCCATCTGAAACCAACGCCGCACTCAAAACGGTGCCAGGCGGCGACTGGGGGCTTGCGGGCCATGCGTCGCCTAAACCACAGCCGGAGACCTGTGGAGCCGATTGGTCGACGACGTAAAGACCAACGGTGGAAAACACGGCAGTCCTGACTCCGGCCAGGGCTGGTTGAAAAGAGGTCATTGTATGATGGAATATATATATATGTTATTGCTTCTATGTGGCCTATAGAATGTTCCAGTCCCACGGAGTGTCTGGGTAATGGTGATACTCTTTATTGACACGTAGGCGAAGGAGTCTTTCTAAACTTACAATTATAACCTCACATCCTGGTTGACTTTGCGAGGCACCTGCAGGTGTCCTGCCAGGTGTCCTTTCTGGGAGGTCCTTACGGGCAGGACACCTTAGCCGGGCCGACTTTGTTTGAGGGCGTGAGCCAAAGAGCTGTTGCCGAAGCCGATTCCTTTGGTGACTTTGGTGTGTTGGTTTTGTTACACTTGGTATGTTCACAAAGTCAAACTACATACAAGTACTACAAGGTTTGTCCTCTTTGGGGAGTACACATGAAGATCCTAAACAATCCGAATACAGTCCATCACCTTCGCCACTGAATCATCTCAAGTTCCAGCCCCCTTTTCATTGGGGAATCCACTTGTTTCGCATTCAATTCAACCCCCCCCAACATGTGTCAGCTGTCACCGAGTGGGGTCATGATCATCCACTCTTCACGTCTTTCACCCCGGTCGCTTCATGCCGCTCTTTGGGTATTTCTACGACCAAAACGAGACTTGTTGACAGTCGGTCAGTGTCAGCCACCGGCAGACGTAACGACATGGACGTTACTAACGTCTGACATCACGGGCGGATGTAGGGACGATTCCGGCGGGTTGACCGTGATAAGACTGGTCAACCGCACCGACTCACAGAGAAACTGCCAGCATCCGAGCATCGAAACCACGGATGGGGCCATGGCACATCCATGTGATCCCAAACCATCCATGGAACTGGACTATTTTTACATATTGTGCGGCGGAATTTATTTGGTACTAAACTCAAATACACTGTATATATTATGTGGGGACCCTATCTCGTTTAGACTACTTAAGTAGGAGGTCATGTCACAGTATCTCGTTCAGACTCCTTTAGTCGCTGATCACACAATCTCGTTCAGACTACTTTAGTGTCATCAAGCAAAAGTTTCTCGTTTATGTGGGGGCCCTATCTCGTTCACAAGCGACAAGCAAATAGAGCATGCCATAGACTACTTTAGTAAAGCCTAAATAAAAGTAGTTGCTCAGCTCATATGAACAAATTCTGATGAACTTGGATTGGATATGACTGGATGGGTCATAAATATGGGAGAAATGTCGGGCGCCTCTTCCAGTTCGATGGTCTGATGTAGAGTGACGTTTACTGAGATCCGCCTCCAGAGCTTGCGGCTCCGCCAGCACCGGCCGTGCTGCTTTCGGGACGTTGTGGCGAAACCTCAGCTCGAAAAGCCAGATGATCCGCTGAGCTTCGTCATGAAGGGCAGTAATCAGTGAACTACACCGGGGAAGAGACCCACATGGAACCGGGCGACCGGCATGGACCCACACTGGAAGACGATGTTCCTCTACAAACCGGGGCGTGGTTTTCAAAGTTTTGTTTTTTTAACGTCGGTCTCTTCTAGTGAGTGTCATTTGGATTCTGGGAGGGTTCTGAGAGGAATAGCACTTGAGCCATCTCCTTCCTGTCAGACGCATGCTGCAAGGCTCGCAGACTCCAAGTGATTGTGAATTGCTGATGTCATCCAATCAAGGTGGAGTCGAATTCTCAACTTATATCCCCTCACATCAAGAAAGGACCTACCAACCCCTGCATGGGGGGGCCTTGCATTCCTTCTCCGTTCCTTCGGCCCTCTCCCACGGACTCAACGCGACGGGACTCCTTTTTGGGCCTGTGAGACTTGGCATAGCCAGCTAGAGACTCGTCGTGTCCGTTCAAGATCTTCAAAGCCAAACATAAATCACATCATGGGTGTATTAAACTAGCTACCTGTTTAAATATCTCTCAGTTCCATCCGCTCGGAAGGTTCGGGAAATAGACCAATCCACCCATGGGTTACGGATTCTCCCTCTTAAAGTACACCAGTAGAATAAGACCTACGAGATCATCGTTAGATACACATTGTTCAAATTGCTTTCTAATACTCAATTAGTTGTGGGTCAAAAGCTCCTGCACCTGGAGGTCACCTCCAAAATTACTGACCCTAAAAGAGGTCAAAGCATGATCTTTCCAACAAGAAGGACCTCCATCCAAACATTCCAAACACAACATGCTAAAAACGATTCCCTTCCCCAAAAAAGAGAAGACAAAACGCTGAAATCAAACGCTGGGAATTTGATCCTAGAAATTCTGCAATACCAACATAGAGAGCGAGCCAACACGATATACTCAAGGTGGGGGTCTTCCTGTTTAAGTCCAAGATCTCACCCAGTAATCGAGAATGCAGACTCAGAAAGTATGACTTTGAATGTAGGACCTTAATCAATATGAAGAGGTCTTTCAATCCTAATGGGGGGGGTTATTGATCAAGATCCTACATGAATGTTTATCAATATGTTTGGAATGTTCTGGGTGAGGGGATACCCAAAGTGTAACAACCATGTCATGATGGGAAATCTTCACTTGGACGGAGACGGGTGTAGAAACTATATACATGGCGCGGCGCAGGTTGCTCGCCTCGACAATGGCAATCTCACATGTCTGTTCGCGTCCGTCTGTTCGCGTTGAAACCATGTTGAAACACCGAAGCGAGGGTCCCACAAAGGGTACAGAACATAGAGACCCAAACCATCCATGTATGGCATACAGTATTGACCTTCATTGACCCCTGAAATCCACCACCCCAGGCCGCCGTGAAAGACTGCCGGTCAGATCGACCAGTCCCATTCAGTCCGGTCTGAGAGTACACAGTTGATCCAACCTTTTGAGTGTCCAAACCTCGGATGGGGCGACTGGATGTTTTTCAGCATCTGCAACCTCAATAGCCCCCACACAGGAACTTCTTAGATGGTGAGTAGTCTCTGTGTGGACCTGGGGAGAGTCGGTGCGAACGATGAATGGAGATGACTGCAGTGATACCTAGAAGCTGGTATAGGCTGCCAACCATCTTACCTGGCAGTAAGTGGCAGTGAAACCATGAGTATATATTTTAAACGCAAACATTATATAATATATATATATATGTTTTTTTGATATGTCACATATTTATACATAAAGTCATATACTTCTACAATCTTCTATAAATTATATAACCTGCATGGTCAAGGAAAGGCACCTTCCAACCTCACCTCACAGCTAAAGCTCGTTCGGGGCCTCTAAGGCAAAATACACTGTACGTACGTGTACCTGCTCCTCTCGTTGGTTCCAACACGCTTGCAGCCACGTTGGAGTCATGATGCAAACAACTATCCCTGGAGTCACTTATATAGTAGCATATTCAGGTGTGAGTCCTCGCCATTTTTGCTTCCTCGCCCGTTCACTGCGTTCACGGGTGAGGCTGCGGAACGGGCGGCGGTACTGTCCGGCCGTGGTCGTGCCTTTGGCACGTACCGTTGCATGAGAGGTACATCAACGAAGATGGGATTTGACTCGCCCGGTGGACCGTGGCAGCCGGGGCACACCAAAAGACAGCTGTGCTGCTTGCCCTTGCCATGTATGGCACTTTACAGGCGAATCTTGTGCTGCTGGTGCTAGTTAACCCTAGTGGTCTCCCGCCAAACCTGTATAGCTGGAAAATCGGACGCTGAACGAACATGTTTGTCCGGGAACCAGTGGGATTTGCCCTTTCAAACTCCCAAAACACCCCGGCGCCAAAAACAGCCACTCCTGCCACTCAAAAGGCGGAATGCCGTCCCCACACGTGGCGGCGTCATTGGATCTCATCACTGAGATGACCGTTTCTCTCCGCTTCCTGGTCCAAGTGCTGCAACCGCTCCAGGAGAGGCAGATTTTGAATGCCTTCCTCCCCCAGCAGGTCCATCAGCTCGACCTGTGGCACGGCCATACTAGAGCTTCCAAGCTCTCCACCCATCTCTCGAGTCCTCTAAATCAAGATTCTCGAGACTTGGAAGGTCCATCGGATGTACCCACAAGCTACACCTGAACATCCCTCCATGCTCCACGCCACAGCTGCAGCATTTTCTCAACCTGCTGAAACCGCCTCCTTCTACCTAACCTGTTCTATAGGTCACGCCAGGCAGACCTTTGACCTATGCAACCCCCCACCGCCAAGGTCACGGTGACTCGGGCCTTCCGGTGACTCGGGCGACCAACGCCTCGCCTGGAGGAGCAGCTCATCGGCCTCCATGGTGTCGCCCAAGGGACGCCGATCCCGAAGGAAGTTCAGGGCCTCGCCGGTGCGAGCGGTTGAAACGGCGCTGGCTGGTTGGGCTGCGCAACCAGCCAAGGCGCCCACGTTGAGACTCCAGTGAAAAGGGAGGATCCGGGATGTTTGAGGATGTGTAGGGTATATGTCCCAAGGGAAACTCTGGGAACCGCCATCCTCGTGCACTTCTCATCCAAGCAAGTGACAGCAATCGAGCAATCTTCCAATTCCGGGCCGAGAGTCGAGGGCCGAGATTGGACATACCAAAGAAAAACCATCGATGGGACTGGCATGTATTGTCGTGCTTGAAAAGGGTCATAGGGGTGGCCTACAACATATTCCAGTCCCACGGAGTGTCTGGGATGCGGATGTCTTGAAAAAAAGGGTGTCCTCATGTGTCCTCCAAGTTCAAGGAACATCGATGAACATCCATTGGGGGGGCCGGGGTCGCCCTATTCTAGGGAACACTCACATATATTTGAAGTCTTCTGATTGATGAATCCCTTTTTTCGGTCTTGTCGAGCAGAATCTCGAAGTCTCACCAAGAGTCAAATCATCCTCCTTTCTCACTTTGCTCGGTACAGGATGGTTCAGGGGCATTTCTCATTCTGGTGGTGATGGCAAGCCCTCGACCTGGACCCTTACTCGCAATGCAGTGTCTTGATCTGAGGATCATGTCTCGCATCCATGGGACTGGAGTGACCAGGTACCAGGTATACAGTACATGGGTCATTTGGATGGGCGAAAAGGTGTGTGAAACCACGGCCGTTTCGAATGCTGGCTTTGATCGACCGGAGCAAAGACCTCGTTCCCCAACCTCACCGATCACGACGACCTGGTCCACCCAATTCCCACCTGGTCCACCTTCTCGTCACCGCCCAAGGAGGACGAAAGCCTTGGTGGCCCCACCTCACCCACCACGGGGCCCGAGAGGTGGAGCAGTCCCCCCCGACCTCCACGCGGTCTCCCCGACAGGCTACGGGGGTCTGGGATTGGCTCGTCCAGTGGGGATTGAAGGAGTGTGAATGCTAAGGACCACTGGTGCACAGAGGTGAATTTTGTGACTGCTCATGTGATAGTTGAGCTAGAAATACACAGTGCACTCACTCAAAGGTGTTCTGAGACCTGCTCGCGACACCACCACCTTTCTGCCCCCAGTCATCATAGATATTGAAGTCATAAATCCAAAACGGACGTCAGAAACAACTCTCTTCTTCTTTCCTATTTGCTCTGCATGAAAAGCGGTGCGATAAGTACAAACGCCAAGACAGCACCTTCAAAACAGCTTCAAGCTCACTCCACCAACAGGATGACATTGGGATTTCACTCAAACTCTCAGAGCTCATCCCGGACAGTTGAGAAAACCTCACCAACCCCCAACAGGTCGGGATCTTCCGGGCGGCGTGTGGCGCAACTTCTGCGTCTCTTCGCCCCAATGCACCTGACGTTCGCCCACGCCCATCCGGATGGCGCAGAACTCCATGGGATGGGTCAGAACTATTGTGGTCACATGGGATGGTCTGGACTCTATCAACATGTATGATTCAATCATCATGAAATCTAACGCATCCTGGATTTCGTACGTGACTTCAAGGTTGTACTTTCCTTTGCTATCAGCACCATCTCTTCACCTCCTTTACTATCCTCTAATTTGATTCCGAACCCTACCCACCCCCTTCAAAAAGTAAATATGTAATCGTAAGTTATATAATAATGTACAGTTCAATTGGACACTCAGCCACTGCACCAGTATTTCAACGGCATTTCGCCTCTGGCAAGGGCACCAAGAGAGCTTCCGCTTCAGCCAAGAGCTGACGCCACTCGGTGTTCCGCCACTCATTGCGTGTGACGGAGGAGTCTGGGAAGGTCTCGTCTTCAACGACCTGGAGGTCTTCCAGGAAGTCCTCGGCAAACACTGCTGATCAGCAAGGTTTCGTCTCACTGTGTAGAAGACTATTGGAAGGCATACTGACTGGCAAAGATTGCTGATCTGACCAGTTGAACATGTGGGACATTATAATAGGGCTCATTTCTTGCACAGTTGATGGATGTGCGCTTCATCACTGGATCTACGGCTTCTGCTTTTCAGGTCAGTGATGAACGGCTGAAGCGACTGCCCGTTCTACGGTCTTTCTCGATGTTTAAGGATGGTCCGGGTGGACTCGGCCAGCTGTCATGAAGATCCATTGACTCGGCGGGTGAGTTGACTGTAGGTATCACCAGGCTGGGGAAGATGCCCGATTTCAAAGGATTCAATCCTAGAGGTACAACACCGCTTGCAAAAAACTGCTTAGCAGAAGTTGTTCAACAGGTGCGATACCAGTGCCATACTTGTATCTACAGGTTTTCGGAACCTGCTTTCATGAGATCTTTGCGTATTGCTTCTACTGATCCTCTCTCATCCTCTCATTCCACGCTGGGCATCCATCTCTTGATCCGAGGAGTGCTCCGAGTGTTCCACCGCAGCGTTCGGCGCGCCGGAGTCGCTTTCGAAGTCACTGGGATACGAGCCGCAGCCCTCCGTCTGCACGGACGGGTAGGGCGACCGCGAGGGAGAGCCCAGCTCGTCCTGGCGGGCGCGAGAGAACATCGAGAGGTTCGGAGAACACCCTTCGAGCGAGAGGTTCGCCACGTTCCTGCAGAGGTGTCGCGAGTGACCATCAAGTACTTGTCACAGCGGATTGTGATGATTTCTCACCACACCATCTAACACATCTATTAAAACCACCCACTCACCATACCATCAACACCTCCCCATCCTTCTACCAAACAGCAGGTGGCTCCTCGACCAAACCAGGCAGGCCCGGAGTACTCTTGCCATAACCCATGAAGTTGGAGGATCCTCCCGTGCCACCCAGGTCTTGACTTCGCCCATGACTGCTTTCGTGGCTCCTGATGGTGGTGCAAAGAGCTTTCGGTTCGATGCATCCGGATGCAAAGAGAGCAGGCAAAGAGCTTAGCGGTGTCTAAGACGGAAATAGAACACAAGTTTTGAGATGAGTTGAAGAGGATCAAATCATCATACAAAAGAACTACATAGACTTATATAGAATCGATATCATATCGACATGATCTTTCCCAAAGACAAACACATACCTGCTGTGAAAACTACACATCTTTTTCACCTGATCAAGGCTCTTACTCGGCGTGGCATCACTCGAGGAGGGCGACGGAAGCACATCTTCTACGCCGTTCGCACCGTTCATCACGTGCCCGTTCAGCCCATGTGCATCCGGCGCATGCAGCTGCCGGAGGTACGGCACCGCCCGCCGCGCCGAGCCGCCCGCGGCGTTGGCCGGTGGCGCGGTGGGAGGTGGGCTTGCGGCGGCTGGTGGGGTGGCAGCAGGGGGTGGAGATGAGGCTAGGCTGGAACGACTTTTCGCCCAGGGCTCTAACGAAGCCTTCCGCTCTAAAGTGATGTCCAAGGACTGCAAGAAATCGTGAAAAGGATCCTGAGATGTCTGAAGTCGTGCGCACAGACAAGTGTGTTGCTGCAACACGCATCCATCCTCTAGTATACGTTCAATACGTTTCGATCAACAAACACACTTGACTTTGGACCAAAGCCCTCTCTCAACATTCTCAAAAACCAGTAAATTGTTTCTCATTGTGGAACACACACTCTTGTAATTAATTGGTAAACATCTCTGAAACCCAGGTCTGCACGCGAATCATTCCAACTCCATATTTGGTTTTATATAGAAGCAAGGATAGTCACCTAAAGAAGGTTCAGAATTCCGTGATCGAAAACAACAAGCAGGTCCATCCCGAACCTCTGGTTCCGATATGGGACTTTCCGGAAACAAGAAACAAGCGACCCAACCACGCTGAGTCTCACGGGAATCTCACATTTACACCCAAACGAGCCCTATAGTGGGTAAGAACAAAAGCCCCCAATGTGCCCCAATCATCACCCAAAAGTAGATCGCTCTCTCTCTCTCTCTCTCTCGTTCACCCCGAGTCTCCCGAAGTACTTGTGACCTCAAGAGCTCTCGGTTGCTCGGCCGGTGATGCGGCTTGCGCGCCAGCAGCTTCTGCAGCGCTGAGCTCAGTGGCTCGCTGTAGCCGTCCGGCGCCTCCACGGGCGGCGCGTGCAGCACGGCGGAGACCACGGCGGCGTAGGAGTCGCAGCGGCCAGCGAAGGGGGGCTCCAGGGCCATCATCTCAAAGAGAACGCAACCCAAGGCCCACTGGTCCTGGATGGGATGGAGCAGAGCACTGGATGGAAATAGATTGAAGAATTGCTGGAAAGACGGAAGGTGGCAGGTGGCAGGTGGTGCAAAGGGGCGCAAACGAACATGATGTCCAGTGACGTCGTCTGAAAGAGCCTGAACATCACAGCTACCCTGAACATCACTTCCCCCGGTTTTTGTCAGATGGACTTCGTCCACAAATACCGGTAAAGTTGGTGGATCCTTCTTGACCTCGCCAGGACATGTTGATGTCAGACTGCACTGCTTGTGCAGAGTTCCAAGAGTTCTACGATGGCCTATGTCACACTGCAGCATATGCATGAAACCTTGGAAGCACATCATCGAATGAACTCAGTGGACCGGTTGTAAGGTGGAAAACATCTCCACCTGCCAGAACCAGCAATCTTTCAAGCAAAAACTCTTTTTCCAAGGGAACCTGAACCAGCTTCCAACAATGCTGGAGTGCACTGGTGAAGCTGGAAAGGGTTTTTGTGGACCCCCAGGAGTTTAAACACCAAAGATCTTTGGTTTCCAAACCCGACGCCCTACCTTGGGGTGGTTTCAGTGTGAATGTAGGTAAATAATGGTAAATACCTAGAACTTCCCAGTGTATTGTTTTTCCTGCGGCGTGAAGGCCATCTTTTGCTGCCATTGCCTCGATTGTCTTATATTTGAGTCTGCGGACGTTTCTGCTATGTTTCCTAGTTTTCTGATATTCCGCAGCCGTTTATACACAAGTTACGGGCGTTCATTGGTGAGCCACAGCCACGGGCGCTTTACGAGCGCGTTTACCTGAACGTGCTTTTGCAGCGGATGTATATTGTGGTTGCCGATGTTTGTGTAGTATGGTTCACAGACCTAGATCGAGGTTTTCTTGAACTACCGACGAAAAAAAGCAAACACGAGGTTGCAGGTATGCCATAAGTATCCGGTGGAGTGTCTGAGAAGGTCTTCCTCTCAGCCTCGCCTTCTTCGGTTTTTTTCCTCGCCATCACCCTCCCAAAACGACCCTCATCATGTTCCCCAAGCCGATACCAGACCTCCCAACCAGCCCGCCACCCCTTAAAGACAGACCGGCCAACGGTTCCGCCGGCGGTTCCGCCCGCCCAGGAGTCCGTCTTGCTGTTGTAAGGCCTCCCTTCCAACATCTCAGGGCTCATGAAGGCCGGAGTCCCCACGATGGAACGCCGCAAGTCTTCGGTGTGCTCCACCTGCCGGTCTGGCGGATCGAATGAGACAGGCTCCGTGCGGGTAGACGGGAACTTGGTGACCGGTCTACGCCACGGGTGACCGAACGAGGTGGAAAGATGTGGAAAACGGAGGGTTGAGAAGGACAGATTCCTTTCTGAGAGCTCCTACCAGGCTGTTTTCAAGCGTTCTGAATATATTTGGACTTAAGATACCCGGATGGTCAATATTGGTCTGCACCAAATGTTGATTCTAGATTTAAGGTACCTGGTCAATGCACTACTGGACCTTTTATAGAGAAAACCCCTCTTTGGAATGACCAGACCGAGCTCTGTGATAGTATATAAAGCTCTATAAAGTACTATAAAGCTTGTTGTATTCTTATGTATGTTTCTATGACATGCCAATCCAGTTGAACTGCATAATAAGTGTTTTGTGCCTCTGTGTCCAGTCCCGAAGCAGGGAAACACGGTACCTCACAAAAAAAACAAACAAACGGAAGTGTGGGGATCTCTCAGTGTCAGTGCACATATGTTGGCTACCAGAAAGCGCCAAACAGGTCTCTCGCCGTGAGAATAGACAAAGAGACGACACCTTCAAGAAGTCACTCTCTCGTGACGAGAAGGGGCAATCCCCAAAGGGAGAAAGGACAAAACTCAAGAAACAAAAAGTCTTTATTATGACTGTATAGTTATAATTAGGCAGTCTCTGTAATTGGGCGAAAGCCTGTTTAACTAAGTATGCGATTTCACTTCACCAACATGTTGAAGCCACTCCGACCACTCCAAATCTCATATGTCTTATCTTCTATGAGCTAGGATGGCCTGATTGAAAATGACCCTCTACAAAATGCAATTTCAGGCTTCGGGCTCCCGCCTTCTTTATCCAAGGTACCCTCACTATAGAATGGGTCACCTGAAATTGCATTTTACAAATGGCCATGGTCCCCATGTTATAGAGAACCATTCACCGGCTATGATCTAACATAATTTAAGTTCTGAACAACAAACCAGGTTGCACCATCCCCAAACACAACGATGGGCATCACAAAAACAGAAGCAACTACGGCACAAGCCTTGGGATGACAATCCCCAGCCCTTCTTAAAGAAGGTCTCAACATCTCTCAACCCTTGATGAGAACAGCATATGTAGTTTGGCATCCAGGATAGATCCGGATAGGGAACATATCCAACATCCTGAAGGTAGTTCAAGTTCATTTCAGGATGATTCTTCTTCGGTCCTGGACTGGACCGAAGTCCGCGGACCGCGGCCGTCGTTGTGTCGGTCAGTCGCGGGTCCGCCTGGCCCGCCACCCCGAAATCCGCCAGCATCACACGCTTGCCCTGCTGTGCCAGGAGCACATTCTGGGGCTTCAGATCGCGGTGTAAAAACTTCCGCGAGTGGAGATGCTGCAGACCCCAGGCCAACCTCAGAAAAATGATGCGGCGGATCAATGGATCAAGAGAGGTGAGGTTTTTGGGATGGTGGACGTGGATACTCTTGGTGTGTTCTTGATGCACAAGGATGCACTGACTTTTTGTGTCTAGATTTGACGTCTCGCAAGCCCCATTTCTTGCGTCTCACAAGCCCAGTGGCTGTGCCAGCCATGAGAGCACCTGCGTCTCTGGGATGTGTGGTTTCGACAGCATCGTGCTGCTGCCGGTCGTGCTGCTGCCGGTCGCGCGGGACGCGGACGCCGCAGCGGCGTCGGAGGTTTGCAGCTCCCATTCTAAGCGCACCCGGAGACATTCTTGTCGCAGGTCACGATCACAACGGCTCATGACTAGGCAAAGCAAATCCTCTGAAGGCAAGGAAGGGGTCGATCTCACCAGAAAGCTTTCAAAATAGGGGACGATACCTGACGAGAAGGGATCGAAGATCGATCCGTCGGCGAATCCGACTTTGGGTTCGAGCTCGAGGCTTTCTTGACTCGGGGATCGGCTTTGGTGTGCGGAGAAAAGAGCACAGCCAAAGAAACATGTGATGCATGTCATTGTAAAATTGTAAAACATGCAAATATACATGCAGCTAAGGGGCTAAGGGGTGATGAATGGACACTATGGACACCCTTTCAGCCGTCCTATTGTTTTCTTTGCTTTGTGTTGAGCCGAGGTTTAGGCGTTTCGAGTCTCTCCAACCTTGTGTGGCCAGTGTCTCAACATGTCTCAACCATGACACCGAACGGTTGACCTACCTAGTCGACTGGTCGTAACTGCTACATGGTGGACTGGTCGGGCTCCGGGTCACGGCCCAATGGATTTCACGCAGGTTTCTTGGGCGTTTCACTTGGTCGAACCTGCATATGTTCCGATCAAAAAACTCGGTTGGGAGATGCCCAGAGGGCTAAATTTAGACTAAAACCATCTAAAGCCCCTTGGGCCATCTTGGGACAGGGGAGCCTTCCTATAATCAAATGCACACCCACCTCAGTCAAGATGCATGGATGTCTCATTGAGGACAACAATCTCACCTGGCGCTCCACTGCGATCGCCACATCGCGCTCGTCAACCCCAAACACGATGCATTCAACTAATGTTTTGTTCTCAAACACACATTGTGGTGGTTGATTTCAGGGGTGAATGTCAGTAAATCTGCCAGTCCCATGGAGTGTCTGGGAACAAAACATTATAGTTGAATGCCTCGTGACATGCAAGAGACCGAATCTGAGGACAGGCAACACGTGTGCATGGAAGGTGGGCATGCCTCATGACCACATCTGTGTGATCAAGCTCAACTGTAGCGTCCTCGTTGAAGTGAAGCTAGTTCAACCCCAAATCGTCATTGTTGGCAAAAGTGCTGAACAAATGCCCTCAGAGCTTCCAAAATGTCCGAAAGATCATCGCCAGGTATCTAAGAATATTATATATGTGTCATAATGTTTCATATATGTTTCATCCCTATCGATGCGTTGCATCGAATCTTTGAATGAAAAGTCTTCGCGACATTCCTATGATGTGCGGCCAACCCAAAGAACTACTGTAACCTCCTAAAACTCCAAAGAAGAACATCCTCCAATCCACCAAGCCCTCGGTCTTCGCTCGCCCCGTCGCGCCTCCCTTAAGGCGTTTTCACGATCCGACTCGCCCAGCCATGGCAGTTGCTTCACCACCCGTAGCTGACCACTGGGGTCCTTCACTTCCTTGGGGTTTGAAACGGCCGGTTGGACCGGAGGAGCGGAGGGGTTGATGTCAGTAGAAACGTTGCTGGGAATCTGCAGTGAAGTGATTCTGTTGGTTCCATGGCTTTGGGACATTACTCTTGGGAGCCACCTGGATGAATGATTTGAAAACCAAGTTGCATAGACCCGGCTGTTGCAGCCGCCCCCTTGGCCTAGGACTCGCATGACTGAGTAGCCATGCTCCTCCATCGTCAGTGGCGGCCCATGGCCCACAGCGATGCAACGCCGGACAGCGAACGGCTCGGGCTCGAGCCATCTTGACCAACTCCGGAAGGAAACTTAAGGTTAGTGGTTTCAACATGTTTCAGCACAACCCGAAAATCCTGGGGTCCTGGAGTCGGTGGGAGTATAATTTTCTCCCAAGGCACAGATTCAATCTCCATGGAATTTGTTCGACATTTTGGACTTTAAAAGGATGGATCGAGCGATAATCTGAAGACATGAAGAAACCGAACCTTACAAAATGGGCGCACTGGACCCTCCCACCTAGCTACTGGCAGGTTCTGGAAGTCCAAACCCCTATGCCTATGAGCATCCCCAAACCCAACTGCTGGTTGGATTTCGGAGACCTTGGATCTAAGGAAACGGTTTGTGCTGAGCAATCAGGTCCGACTGATCGGCATTTATTTAGTCGAGAGTTGAACACGAGTCACGAGACTCTTCAAACATGGTTTTTGTGAAACACAGCCTGCACCTGGATATGTTTTCCAAGAGGTGGATCCCAACCAGCCAGTGAAACACATTAGTGAGCCATTCACCAGCTGTTGCGATAGACCCCGCCTCTTTTGGGAGTGTGAACATGTGAATCTGCTGTCGTGTCCGGCGGGATTGAAATCGCTTCAACGTAGATGTACATGGACCTCCCAGGTGGCCTTTGAGAGAGGTGGACATCTGCATCCTGGTTGATGGTCCGCGACCCGAAGTGTTTGGGCCACATCCGGTCACCGAAGGGCTCATCGGTCGACGCCGAAAAAGGATGAACAAAGGATCAGGGCGAACGCTTTCTGGTATATCGAACAGGGCGGTTCTTTCAGTCAGCGCCTTGCAATTGTATACGTGAATGTTGGAGGCACACCTTGGAAAACCACTGCACCGATACATGGATGAGAACCTATAAGACCAGACCCCCAAAGCCTGAGACCTGCACAAAACAACAGGCGAAACGGGACATGTAACCATAGAAGCCCTACTTGAACCACGGGCAAGATGTACCCTTAAACACGTTGTCCTCCCAAGTTCACAGACAGGCTGGGTACCACCCAGCCCGAGCCCAAGAAGGTAAGTATCCGGCCTGGTGGACGCATCACTTGCCGGAACCGACTTCCGGGTCAGGTCTGGGAGGAATGGATAGGGGGTCCATCAGGAGCATGCTCCATTGGGTGCGTGATCTGATCTCTCCTCTTCGTTGGACGTTTAGAGGGTCATCCGCAAGGCTGCCCGCGGACTCATCCGCACTGGATGACGGCACCGCCTCAACATAGGGATCATGCCACCGCTCTAGGGGCGGTATAGATCTTGAAGCATGGTGCACCGAGGGCATGCAATGATCTATCCCGTTATAATCGCAGTGCATCAGGTCAAGCGAGAGCTCCAAGCGGTAACCAATGATTTTGCTCTCTTCGCTTCGTTCATCTATATATCTGATGAACCCGGCATTCTCTGACCGGCTCTTGGTCGTAGCTGAGATCACCCGCTGTGGCCCCGCATCACAGAAAGACCCCGCTGCAATGGCATCCCTCGCCCACATCACCCGTCTCCTCCGGGATGTCTCAGTGCAGATGGTAGAAAACTGTTGCCGCTGCCATGGAAGAATTGAGGGAAGACACACGGTGACACCTACAACATTCCACGCCACTCCCTCAAAGCCACAGGACTTGCCAAAGGGGTGCCAAATCCTGCAGTTTCAGGGGCCTCTTGTCCACATCCACTGTCCGCCAAAGCCTCCTGCTGAGGCTGCTCAGCTGTGATGCTGCTGCTGCTGCTGTTGCTGTTACGGGACAGAGTGAAACGTGAACCAGGGTATTATACTTGATCTTCAGTACTGCAATTCAAGGCTTCGTACAGAAAATTCAAGGTTAAGGCCTCGTCGTCTTCCAACATCTTTGTGACACAACGTCAGCTCTTCCAAAACATCGACCACCCAGCAAAGGGTCTCCCCCAAACGAAATATCTCACTGTAGCTTTTTGTGTCCCCCTTCGACCACTGGGGCAGCCGCTGGGTCGTGTCCAAGACTCCACCTGGGTCGCCCACTAGGTCGATCGCGGATGAAGGAAGCGGTCCCTGGGATCCCAAGCCAGTCAGTGTGCTGTCTTGGGTGGTTGTTTCAAATCGTTTTAAAGAGGAGTCAGAGCATGGGTGAGTCAGTGGGCCAGTGAGTGAAGAAAATCATCCCGTCAAGGTCTGACCATGTTTGACCCCATAGCCACATCCAACCGTCCAAGGACTGCAGGACCGCGTCCTTCCAACCATCGCCTGATAGAGGAAGATCGGCTCCGGGTCCTTATATTATATCTTCTGCCACACCTGTGGGTTGTTCGTATTTGACCCACCAATGAGTCAAACTCGATCAAGTTGAATAATAATCAACAATTCACAAACAAACCTAAGAATCAGAAGAAAAACATGGGAGGGTGTACCCTCAGTGGCGAGAGTTTGAAATCCACACTTTCCCATCGAGCCCCTTCCGGAGATTCTGGCAGATTCTAGTTATATAAGAGCCAAAATGCGCATGGAACATAACAATTGGAACAATAATATGGAACATACAGTAACAATCCCAAAGCAATTGCGCAGAGTGAAAAAGCTTCTACCAAGCCAGGGACTCACCCTGACATCCATGTGACCAACATCCACTAACAACTCGTTTTATTCAAAAAAAGACCCGATGGCGACGTGAGCAACCTGAGCCTGCCCAAAGGCCGTTGAGGGGATTCCTGTTGAGGGGTGGTCTTTGCTCCAAAGGCATCGCCCACTGACACCTCGTCACCGCCGATCCCCCCTGCCCATCGACCCCTCCATCGACCGCGGACGCGACAAACCGCCGCCCGGGTCACTGAGACTCTTTGTCAGCGGTTGGCCGCGGCCAAAGACGCCCAGGTCTGTGGCCTGGAGCGAGCGATACACCGACGATAAAACGGAGCCGAGGTGTGGAGGCACTGCGTGGAGGTCCTGAAAGCATTCGGTGTTGCAGAGTTCGTGGCCTGGGGGGCTTCGTTTGGGGCTTATGGAAAATAGATTTACTTAGGGCCTGGAATATATACTTGGCGGGGTGGCGGCGTGGCAAGCCACTGGGGCGGAAATTTGCGGCGCTACAGGTCATGGACCCAGACGCTCCACGCGGAATGTGGCTGGAGCCGACCGACACCAGGTGAGATTCACAACAATCACCAACCCGGTAGAATTCACAGCAGGGTATAGCCATGCAGGGTATAGCCTGGAGCTTGCCGGAAGCTGCTCTGCAAGTCATGCTAGTCCGTTGACGTGGGCTCGTGAGCACGTAGACATCCAACCGTTGGTAGGGAGGATCGAACCGGTAGTTGTTTTGAAAAGCCATTGAGTGAATCTCAATGTGAATAGATTCTAAATGATTCGAAGATATTTTAAGTAACGATTGCCCTGATGAAAAGCCTTGAAGGAAAGCAATCACCACAACACAAGGCTGCATGAAGAGAGAGTGAAGCATCCCCAGAAAGGATGTGCATTTCGGTCCATCATTCTTTTCTTCTGTAAGCTGCCCTTTCTTCCAAAACGACTTTGTCAAAGAACAAAGGCAGTCTACTCGGACTGTTGCTGTCAGCTGTCTCAGTGAAACGGAGACAAGCTACACTCTAAGCTGCCTCAACAGTGCCGCACAGGCTTCCAGGGCCGAAAACACATGCATAGTCTAAAATCCTCGTCCCCTCGTAGTACGGTTTCAATCAACTGGGCTTTGCCTCACTGCTACACACACCGAAGGATGTCCACCAGTGACCGGCTCGCCTTGGGCCCGCTGCGCGTGGCGCGGCGTTCACGGCCGCGCCGGGCATCGGCCTGGCGAGTGGTGCGTAGATGGCGCGGCGACGCGGCGTAGGATGGCGCAGTTGACACGAGGATGGAGAGTAGATGGCGCAATCTCCAAGTTTGGAGGTTTAACATGGTGTAACGGTGTAACTAATATATATATATATAGCTCAGGCTGGTGGATTGGTTTGCATCACCCTTTTGCTCTACCGAAATGATGACAGGATTTGAGCAGATTGGTCTTGGGGATTGATGAGGATTGATGGTAGTTTCTGGGGATATCGCTTTGAATAACTATTCTTGATGGACAAATTCTTCTGCACCACCAAAGAAACCATGTTAGATAGTGGATTCAAAGATAGGATCTTGTTTAACTACAACATACTACAACCAAAGCCAGAAAATCCGGCAAAGCGCATCCAATTCACCAATCAGAACAAACTTCTTTGGTCGTAGGAGCCACGAGGACTCAGTGAAGAAAGATTTGTCATCTAAGACTACGCGATCACGGCCACTTCATTCAATGAGTTCATGCAAAGTCGGTGTAAAGCAACAAGAAACCTCTGTGTCCATCCCAGGAAACATCCTAAACATCCGAAGTGGTCACAATCCCTCCTGTAGGTCGAGTCGAAGCAACTACACATGGCTTAAACTGGGCAGACCCACCACCTACAACTGCAAAAAGTAAAGACAACCCATCCAAGACAACTAGATCATAGTTATATCATGTTATATCCATATATATAAGCAGTACTTGTACAGTCATATATGTACAGTACTATATGTATCCCATCCAAACCCATCCCTTCGTTTTCCGGAGATCGCTCCACTTCGCTCTCCTGATCGTCCATCCCCCCGGGCCCCAAAGCGCCGACCACGTCAGCAGAACCTCCCAATGCCCCACAACCTTACCCCTTGGAAAAAGAACTACCATGAACTACCCAAATTGATGCAATAGCCTGAATCCCCAACCAAACCGTTATATTGTAATAGGATGTTACAACTACAACCACCACGGACCACCAGGTCATCGTTTTGAACACATGGTCCACCTTCGTCTCTCCCGAACTCTCGCCGGGCCCACGCTGGCGGTGCCCGGTCCCGGTCCGGCGCTCCGCGGCTCGGCGCGGGCCGCCGCCCAGGTGCCACCCACCACTTTGGAGCCAGGCAGGGCCTCCGAGGAGGGCGGAGCTCGTGGAGCTCCCAGGAGGATATACGAGATAGGAGGAGGTGCAGCCGCATGGCATGATTTAGATTGATTTATATAGTAGAGTGTCTATTACACTTTTGGGCACCTCTTCCCCATCCTTTTTGAGCGAATTGGCATGTGAGTTGCATCAGTTTGAATGGCACCTGGGGCAACCCATCTATTTAAGTGTCTGTCTGGGTGTTACTGTTTAAAGTCTCGCACGAAGCACAACACTAGGACCAAGGATTGACAGACGGGCCGCTTGGGCCGCTTTGCACTCATTGACAGACGGTTCCATGTTGAACATGGAACCAGATGCCCTAAGAAGTCCATGGTCCATGGACCTTGGGAGGGCTCAATCTCGGCTTGACTCAACAAACAACTCATATTATTATCATAAATCCTCATAGAATCATATACTGAGAGGAAGTGAGATAGGAGTCTTCGAGCATATGCCACAACTCCTATGTCATCTGCGCGTAGTATATATCATCAAAAGCATTGCAACAAGCAGTGCAAGGGGTGTCTTCGGCGTTTGAGGATCCCTCAGAATCCTTGGACCAGCCTGAACCCCATCTGGCCGTGGGTGCCGCCCAAGATACCTTCCACCTATACCTGGAAGGTCAAGCTTTCCATGGCCCCGTGGATCACGACCCACTTCCGGCACCGGAGTCTCCGCCCACAGCTCCGCGCTCCGCGGAATCCGCGCGGCCGCTCCGCCTGTTCCGCCTTCCGAGCGGGCGCCTCGTGGCTCTTGCTCGAGCGGCCTGGCCATCCGAGCGGGCGAACGCGGCCGAGGCACGGTGAAGACACGGTGAAGAGCTCGTGGGTCTCTCAAAACTCTGGTTGATCATTGATCTTCTGGTTGTTCAATCAACTGTTCTAGAAACCCACAGCCAGGACACTAGGAACAAGGACGCTACCAGGAGCAAGGATGCTACTAGGGGCTCCTGGCCTTACTACTAGGAACAAGAAGCTACTAGGAAGGAAGGGGTGGGCTTTTGGAGCTTGTTGGAGTGAAGTGCACCAACTTGCCTCCCATCCCATCTGGGCAATAGCCTTCGGTCCAATCTCTGGCCTCAAATATATAGAACATGACACGTAAAAATGAAAAACACAACAAACTGTTACCTTACCCCTTACCCCAAGTTTCAAATATTTTTCAGAATGGATGTAGGTCTTCATCCGGAAGATCTTGCCACCAGAAGATGGGCGACGGTCTCAATTACGCCACACCGATGGGGTGAACTCTGATGCTCAACTGCCACAAGAAGCCACTGTTCCACTTGCCAAAACAGGATACGGTTCGGTCAGTTCGAGTGAATGACGCCTCATGCCGGCTCACCTTTTCGTGGTTTGATCTTCCCCAAGTTATGGAAGTGAACCCCAAAACTTGCTACAGGAAAATGGCCATGCCATCCACTTCCATGATTGGAGGGACTCAGTATCTGAGGCCAACCTTCCTCCGTACCAACGCAGCCTTGACTCGTCTCTCGCTCGTTGAAGGGACGCCCCTGGCGCGTGGTTGTGCACAACGAAGGAAACCGTGGCATTCACTCAAAAAACATGTCAAAAACCAGAAAACATGTTCAGTGTTTTACGTGGCATAGATGTTTCTCTGGATTCGCACCAAGTTCGACAGTCGATGTGCTCGATGTATACTGTTTGATTCTGGTGCATGCATCTTCAAACGGCACAAGTTTTTGTCGGAGACATTTTTCAGTGAAAACACAACACCAAACTTAATCAAAACGACTTGCCGTTTCAAGTTATGTGATTCAAGTATGTGCTCAAAATCCATGGACGGGGAAGACGCCCTTTGGACACCTAAAAACGCAGTTTCTTTTTGGTTTCTCACCTCACTACCACTACCACAAGATGTTGCCACTGTCTGCCTTGTCACAACAAAAGCAACACCGTCTTTAGGAGGCAATTATGTTTCTTCCGGTTCAAAGATACATGAGAGCCCTCCAAACTTACCTCACATCTACCACTCAGATCCACTCATGACTCCGCCAAACATGCTCGAAAGGACCACGCTGGAGCTGGAGGCACCAACACCTGCAGGTCAAAAAGAGAGCCAAACAAGGCCTCTTTGAAGGCGAGACAAAGAACTTCCTATGTCACCTGGAGGACATGAGTGCTGTGCTGCTACGATAAGAACTGTTTGGGTCGGATCAACAGAGTACTTCCCAGTGAGTCGGGGGTAAAGCGCCATAGGGGCACCCTGAATCACCCACAGAGCTTTCATATATTCGTCAGGCAAAACTCGGATTCCTCATGCTTTCCAAAGCGCTCAGTGGTTTCCACCCTGCTCAGTACTGTGGAGACCCTTTTTCGACCAGATCTACCATCGAGCCTTGCCACCCGAGGCCACCACCGACGGTCGGCCTCCCTCCGCCGCTTGCCGCTCTTCCCCACCTCTGCAGGACGTGCTGAATCCATCCGTCAGCGCTTCGGCCTGGACACGGTGGGCCGGACCGGGCCGGGCCCCGGTGAGAGCAGAGCGTTTCACCCTCTGCACCAGAAGTTCCAAAGAAAAAACAAATCTAGTTCGATCTTGCTTCTTACATATGTATTGCATGTCAAAGCTTCTCTGGGAAGCACATTCTTTCATTCAAAGGATGTTTGTATGTGTTTGTTTTTGGTCTTGAACCAACTGTAATGGAAGGCCTGAGCTTTCATGAGCAAATGCTCTGTTCATCGTTTCACCAAACATTTCTGCTTATGAGCACCACTTGCCTCGCCACTGAGATTGGACGGATATTCCGAGGATACTCTCTATATCTCTCTATCTTGTTGCAGATCCACCACCACTTTCAGTTCAAAAAACATCAAACCTTATGTCACACAATATGAGGCTGTCACATCGAGAATTCAAGCTGTTCCAAGGTCCAAAAGAACCTGTCCATCACTTCCATCACTTTCCAAATCAAGAAATCCGGCCAACCCCAATCCACCCGAACCCACCCCACCCATCCGCCACACGAACCCCGGTGCGCCTTGGGCGGCAGCCCTGCGCGGCTCGGTGGCCGTGGGCCCCAGCTCTCCACCGGAATGGGCTGCCTGGGCCAAGAGAAGGCAGGGGAACGAAAAGCTCTGAAGATAGACCAATTCTATCCAGGTCTCTATAATTACCCAATATTTGGGTGGAATTTACATGACTTTATACTGATTTTAGACTATTTTAGCAGGAGGGGGAACTGTTTGAAGTTGTTTATGGCGTTTCTGGGGGGGTTCAATGGGTTTTACTTGGTGCTTGTTATGCTTGTTGCAGTAAGCTTTGGCCGCTTGAGGTTTGGAACTCTCGGAATCCAAGTTGAACTTCTAGTTCTACAACATGTTGGAGAGAAACGGGAGAAAACGCTGCATTATTCCTTTGAGTGTAAGAGAGTAAAACCATATCCCACACGATGAGGGGTATATCCAACTTTAGCGCATGGGCGGACGACGGCCAGGCCTCGTCTTCTTTTGCTCAAAGGCATCGGTCATCCTGGCGTGGTCGAACTACACTCCCAGGAGGTTTGAAAGGGGTTTGGTCGGAAGCTACTGCTGTTCGGTCAGAAGAACAGAAGTTGCACGGTCCATACTTTGGATCCTGCAGGGTGATTGACCGATGACTTCTACTTGAATGACCTGCTTGGCCTTTCCTGCGTGGCCTGCCACTGTGAAGAGTTCTTCTCTTACATAAAGCCTTTTTGTAGACTGTCCCTCCCTGAGCCCATAAAGTTTTCACCTGAGTTCAAACGCGACAGCATTCCATATGGCTGTGGGCCATGGCACCCTGCTACAACGTGTTGAACCCCAAAACCAAGCATGACTACCAGGGCAGCTGCTCAACTGTTCGAATGGTGATCGTTTTGTTCACATGTCCTTGGCACTAAGCACTAGTCCCATGTCATCTAAGTGTGGAGGTCCTTGTTCACTGGTCGTTGGGAGGGTCCATCAGGTCCGTCAGGTCCGTCGTTCGCGGCGTCGATCAAAACTCAAAGACCCTTCTGAAGCAGCGTGCACATCGCAAGACCCATGTTCTCCGCTGTTATTGGGTGATTTGGGGACGAGAACGGACCAACTCATGCAAACAGAGTGTCATCGCTACCACAGCTGGTCCACAGACAATCCAACGACCATCTCCGAAATCCAAATCCTCTGACATACAGATCACCTATTAACGGCCCCGAAATGGATAGAAACACTGTCCAAATGACAATTGTTAAATAGTTCAGAATCTATATCTATTTGAATCGAATTCAATTGGTGATGTTGCTGTTCTACATCTTCTGCCGTTCCCCGTCTCCCCGTCGTCGTGTTCTTCCCCCGTCACCCTTTCTCGCACCTCACCGCGCCCGAGAAGGCGCCCAGCCCGGCGGCCGCTGAGGCCGAAGGGTCCTCGAAGCAATTCCGTTCGTAGTAAGGCCAGGACCGCCCCGTTCGTAGCGTCCGAACGCTCCGTTCGTAGCCATGCTCTTTGCTACTAGTAGCTTCTTAGTTCCTATGGGGTCATCTTTCTGGTAGAAAAGCTGTAAACTAACAGGTTTGTGTGGCATTGAACAAACGAGTTTTCCAACAAGTCTCCAAGACGTGTGACCAAAAGACTATAAGTAAAACAAAACAACGCCATCCTCAAGTCGCAAAAGAAACGCCTTATAGTCCATCCATCCATCTGGTTTCCAATTCATGTTTTCACGGCCTCGCCACTCGCTCGTTCCACGGTCTCGCGGCTCCTTCTTTCGACTCGCCGGTCTCTTCAGCTCCTGGGGAAAGTCGTGTGGCACCCGAGGCACCTGGCCGAGTCGGGCGCTGAACCTGGAGGCTCAGTGCATCGGTGCACCGAACGGGAAAGCTTACCATTTGCTGTAGATGAGGATCGCAAAGCCACAGAGCATTGGAACGAAGCAATGATGACTTGGCGTAACTTGCCAGTGACTCTGCGATCTGCACAAACGGTTGGTTTTTCCTGGAACCGTCCCCACCGCAAAGCGCGCTGTCCCCCCCTCCACCGATGGATACGCGGAAGAAATGTGGCCGGCAGTGCGTCATCAAGGCCTGAATGCCCGGTGACATCCTGCAAAAACAATGGGCCAGGAGTCACATGTATGAGGGAGGTGCAGCTTGGGAAAAAAAATACATCCCACATCTGCAGCCCAATTACACTCAGCGGTGATGCGGAGATGTTCGTGAGGTGAATGATGTATCTTTGTGTATACGTAGTCTAGTCCCAACATGATAGATTCCGGTTCCAGGATGTTCAACATCCCAAGGGTCTACCATGTGTTGTGTCCGCAGGCCAGAGACCTGGCTGTTTTTGAGGTTGTTGCGAACGACTAGCAATCGCCGGGTCGCGTGTTCTCAACCAGCAAAAGTTATCATTAAAGATCTATCGCTTCTAACCGGTGACATAATGAATATAGCCTTAGCTATATCTTGCCAAATGTTGTGATGGAATCTCGAGCCAAACTCAATGATCGACCACCCCAAGTTGCCAAGTGAGTTATGTTTAAATAAATATGGTCGAACTATCGCGCATCACACATCTTGGATGTCGCAACTCACTTATGTGATACCTTTCCTCATGATTCTCGCCAAACTTTCCCACCGCCCGTGCCTCTTCAACATCATCCTGGATATGAGAGATTTTGAGAGAAGGAAGCTGGAGGAAGCTGGATCGCATGTGTTGGGCTACAGGCTTAAGTCAAGTCCCAATCGCTTTCCCTCTAATTAGACTATCCTCATACACTCATAGACCAAATCCTCACTTTGGGGCCCGTGCAACATAGGTTTTTTCGCACTGAAGGGTGATTGGCCTTTCACAAAAATGAATATTGGAGGTCTTTGGATCAATACTGAGTGTACCTCTCGTACACCGTTGCTTCTTGAAATAGCAACCATCTTATCAGTCTCCAAGCCTTATATATACAGTTCTATGCACACACCGTGCAGTCACGACTCCACAGCACTCAGACTGTTGATTTCATCTCTCCGCTCTTCCCATTCGCACCATAATGGGGACGGTCCCATGACTTTCCTTCTTCGCCACCACCTCACCAGCACGTACTTCCTTCTCTTCCTTGGAATGCTGGGTCCCCAGAAAAAAAAAAGAAAAAACTCCTCTCCTCCAGGTAGTTATCCAAGGCCGACGTGGACGGCGTCGGCGCCACGGTGCTCGCGGGCGCTGGTTCGGTGTGCGGATCGGAGACCGACCTGCCGGCTCCGTTCCGCTGGGCGGAGCAGTGGCACGGCGTGGCGAGGGTTGGTGGAACGGCCGGTCTCGAGGGGCGACGATGGAGGCAGAGGTCCCAGGGTGTGATATATAAGGCTCCGTGCCGGTGCCGACGTAGAACTTGACGGTGACATATTGTTGTGTAAACCCATTCGTGGCGAAACATCATCTCAGCTCATCTGAAGGTTTGGTCACACCAAAGCACACGAGTCTTTTGGACCAAGGGCCTGGTTTGGTGTGAAAGTCTGGATCAACACGCAGTTGACTTCGGAAGGTTTTACTTCACTCGCATCTCATCGTGAGGAACCCAGCTACCCCACTGCTTGTCCGTCTTTCGGTACAATACTGGAGGGTTGTGCGCAAGGAGGTCTACACAGTAGAACCTCCGGTCCCACATTATCAAATTCATCTATATAAGTCCATCGTCCATCATGTTTGGCCCGAATACAGTTGAAAACCCACACGCCAACCCCGCTCGGACCTATTGGTTGCCTATTTAGAGCTCGGATGTTTTTGGAACGAGCCGTCTTCGATCGAGCAACCAGTGCTGATTCTCCGGGCCTGTGCTGATTCTCCGCGCTGCGAATGCGGCGCTGCGCATGTTCAGCCTGGGTCCGACTGGTGAAGAAAGGCACTGGCACCTGGAAGTCCTGGTGTTTCCCATGTAAAAACATCCTTAATATGTGTTTATTTCCAACATGGGGTTTGAATTTGTCAATAAACAGCCTTTGGGGGACGATCGTAAGAACACCGAAAAATCAATTCAGGTGTTTTGACATTTTGGAAGTTCTTTAGTCTTTCCTCTACAAGGAGCACCCTCTGGGCACGTTTTTCGTTCATACTCACATCAAAGTACTAAGGATAATCATGGTTGACAAGTGCGGATTGAACATGACATTCCTGTAGTTGATATGTTCGAACATGCGCCCTTGGCAAGCAACGACGTAAAGAAACCCAAACACATGTTCAAAAACTCGAAGCACATCTCAATTCAATGGAATCGGCCTGTGCACATGTGTGTACGGTGAAATGACTTAGGTGAATGGGGTTGAAGCTCAGGGGTCAACGCAACGCATGCATTGCAAAAAATCCAGCACCATGGACCATGGAGTGTCTAGCTTATCATCTTTTTCTTGACGCGTCGTAGAGCTGCAAGCGTCCGCCCTCCGGTGAACTGCCTGCACTAGACAGGCGGTGGAGAGTAACAAACACGCTGGCTTTTCGTCGATCATTCTTGGCGCCTAGCAATGATAAGACCAAAACCAACCTCACCCTGAATCAGTGGGACTGGGACAGTTAAGTGTAGAAAAATGATTGATGACTTAACTTTCTCATACTTTCTCGAAGCTGTATCAACATTTGCTTCCGTCTCCTCCTCCTCCTTCTCCTTCTCCTTCTCCTTCTCCTTCTCCTCCTCTGCCTCCTTCTTCCAAGCTCCAGAGCTTGATGGGCACAGCCGACCCGACCCACGAGTGCCAGATCGCAGTGGGCACCACCGGACCTGAACCACGAGCTTCAGAGCTCAGTCGGCACCACCGGACTTAAACCGTGAGCTCCATCGCAGAACCGCAAGCGCCAGATCGCAGTGGGCACCACCGGACCCAAACCAGCTTCGCTGATGCCAGAATATATGCCAGAGCACTTTGCTACACAGTCGGCATTGTTCGATGCCATGGTGGGGATCACCCGAAAGTAAAGTCATGTTAAATCAACAATCGAATCTAGACTCTTGATTCATCAATCCCCCACGTAAAAGGTGTCTTTAATTCAAGTGGGGAGGGTTTATTAATCAAGAGTCTACATTACGTTGCACAGTTGCACACATGTTTCGTCCAAATCACCTCTGGAGCCGACCATCGACACCGGGCGCCCCCGACACTCCGAGGCTCCTCGGCACCTGGTGCCGTGCGACCCAGTGATCTGTGCGACCCATGTGACTGGTCTAAGCCACGAGGCGATCAAAGCACCTGGAAAGCACACGGAAATGACCTGAATGAGCCTGGCAAACGACCCCCTGCAAGTCTCCCTATTAAAAGAACACCACTCAACTGAACTATCCATGACACTCCTAGCCACCCGATCCGGCACTCCCACCTTCGTGTAGTGCCGTCTTCGATTGAGGCCTCGAAGGGTGAGAGTTGAGCTGACCGGCTGGGGAGTCTCCCTTTTCGCCCGGAAGCCCGGGGTCTTGAACGGCAACAGCACAACAGCTGCACCGCCTCCAGACAGAAACCAAATCACGGTCTGCACCACGAATCGACACTGTGACATGATGCGGACATCTCTGCCAGAATAGATGGGATCCTTTTTTCGCCGCATCTATTTTGTCTGGGTGCCGCGCCGCAGCGCCCCACGCATCTGCTGGCGGAGGCTGCGCGATGCAGCCTGATTGGGAGGAGAGTGGAGCCTTTTAAGAATCCACCAAGAATCCACAATAGATCAAATAGATAGTCTATAGTAGACCTTTTCACTTGTACTGTAAAAGGAATCAAACATGTTTGCAACCCCCTGCTTGGCCGCATGACCCCCACCCTGAAAAATGTCGATGGTGGTCACGGAATATGGGTTAACGGTAATGGATTGCAACTTGTGACAGGCGGGGGTCGGGCACAACACAGGATACATCAAAGGAATCCGCATAGGATCTACGATCCACTCGCAGTGACTAACATCATTCAGGGGGTATCTTTTTGCACCCACGGTAATTACATCATGTACTATGTTGACGAAGTGAACACTTCTGGCCAGTAGCTTGAAAATCACCAAAACATCAAAAGGTTCCAGCCAAATGGCATGGACTGGGACCCACAGGGGACCCTCCGCCTGCCCTCGCCGCACACTCGCCTGCCCTCACACGTGAAGCTTCTCAGTCACTCACAGTCCCACTCACTAAGATGAAAATGGCCCCTGAGAAGACCCTTTTTCTCTCCGTAACAGGTGGTTTTCCACTTCCATCTTTGTGAGTCAGAGGGGAAACTCTCTTCGACTCGGCCCACGTGGCTCCAGGGTGGTGGACCGACGGGCTCGATCCCGTGCCCGGGCTCGAAATAGACCAAGCTGGGTTCATCGGGGTAAAGGTATGTCTAACTATGTTTCCCCCATCCATGGATGCCCATCCATATACCTGGCCGTTACCATCCTTATACCATCATTATATTGAAAACTACAGAAAAGTAATTCTCTAGGATGGATGGTAACTGTGTCCCAAACAGCTCGTGTCGATCGGTATTGCTCGGCATGCCTCATCCAAACAAGTCGTCCCAAACAGCTCGTTGCTCGCCCATGCCTCGATCATCGCGGCCCTGTCCAGTCCATGATCCTCAACCTGGAGTTGAGGATGAGACAACTCCAAACAGCTGGGATGCTTTGGTGGATTTCTGAGAAACAGCGATGAGAGTCACAGTCTGTTGAAACATGTGGCTTACAGGCCACTTTACATCCTCACAGACTGACATTACTAAATGCCTGAAAGTAGACCATGGAAAAAGCACGTTCCTCTAAAGGACCCGTGGCTTGGTGTGACTTTTGTGGAGAAATTGTCTCTTGACAAAACTGACACTCGTTAGTTTGCAACGGTTCTCCAGGATGTTCCTACATTATTGTTGATGGTTCTCCAATCCCTTGTTTCACAAATACGCTGCTGCATCTGACAGTCGGAGGAGCCATCACCAGCTATCCTCAGACCCAGCTGGGGAGGCTGAAGACTCTCGGCTCACTGCCTTCAGTTTAAGAGTTCCATGCGCCTCTTTGGGACGCAGCCTTTCTGGAGCATGCTTGGCACAGTTGCCACGAGTGTTAATTTGCACCAAGCGCCTCCTCTCCTCCTCATCAATGAGGTCCAACTTGACAGCTTGCTTGATGCACGAAGAGAGGTTCGGCGAAATCTTGTTGAAGTCGAAGTTTGGCAAATCCCACTTTCGAAGCATATCCTTGAGCTTGTCATGCTCGTGACATTGCTCCTCAAGCGCTTCCATCTGCCACTCCTTGTTCACAGTCGTCCCTGGTGTGGGTACAGACCCATCCTGGGGCCATTGATCAAGCACAGCCTGTGCGGCAAACTGCTCTGCATCGACTTTCCTTCGTCCTTTACCCGTGACTTGAATCTCTTTTTGCCCCACAGTGACCTTGACTGTTGCGCGAAACCCACCTACATCTGACTCAACAGCATTGAAGTCAACATGACCCAACACCGATTCAAGCTGCTGCTTGAAATCGCTGTTTGATGGAGCCAGTTTGGGGATTTGATCTTCGTGCTCTTGAAAATGATGCAGCGCTTTCTGGCAGGCGCTTTTCTGTGCGGCAGCTTTGTTGCTTTCGACCTCACCCAGAAAAGCCTTGGAGCCGACAGGCCCCACACGAATCTCGTACTGAAAATCCTTGGGCACCTCCTTCGAAGTGAGCCTCACTGCATGTGCTCCGAACCATTCCAGCAATTGACCTTTGGGATTGGCATTCTCCACCCTCAAGCCATCCTGTTGCGCGCCTTCCGCACGAACGGGCCCTGTGCGTGCTGTGCCGGCATCTGTGCGTGGTGCAGTGTCTACTGGGCCCACGGTCCCAGTGGCAGCCAGACGGCGGCTCTCGGGGCCGTTGGCCGAGTCTTGGTCTGTCCGCGTCGGCGCTGGCGTGCCGCTTGCGACGTCGGCTGGAGGCCTTTGCTGGTGCGCAAGACCATCCCAAACACAGCGGCACGCTCCAAGGGGTAGGAACATGACCCGAAATTTGCAGTGTGCAACATGTTGAGGAGTTTTTGGACGTCCAATTGGTTGTAACATGCCTATTTGTGATTAAGCATCAGATTCACGACAGGCTTCCCATGTTGCGCTATGCTTCCCATGCTTCCCATGCTTCCCCAAAGGCACCACTTCTCCCAAAAGAACCCTCGCCCATCCAACGAAACTGGAACAACACTACAGTCACTAAAGAGCTTATATGTAAAAATATAAAATTACACTCACTGGAATCAACATGGAAGTGGATGGCATGGCTCCTTGGATAACCATGTTCCAAATACCAAACCAGTGGCGCCATCCGCTTCCGTGACTATCTCAATGCTTAATTGTCAGTGTTCCAAATCAAAAATGAAAGGAAGCCCGTCAAAGCGAGGGACGGAATCTGCCCAGCTAGCTTCCAACGTGGCTTTTGAGCATCCTCCTTCAAGACCTTGCCCTGCTTCTCGAGTCTGTACAAAGCTGGGTTTACTTCTGCTTTGGTTTGCAGGCCAATGCCAGTTGCCACATCCAGGGTCGCCGTCCAATCTCCAGCACGTAGGAACTGCAGAATGGCCAGATCTACAGCTGAGGGGTTCGACCTTGGCTTTTGGAAGCAGCTGGAAAGCACATGTCCACCCATCGTGCCGGATATCACCATCTCAAGACATCCGTATACCTCTGGTCAAACAGTACAAAATGTGACAACCCCCGTGAACGTCTGTACAATCAATGGTTCCGTCTCTTCTCGCACACAGGTCTATCATGGAGGATCTATCGTGCGAAGCATCAAAAGACCTGGTAGACTCATCTTCCATTACCAGGTCTGCCAGGTCTACTACCCAACACCTGCTTGTCATCAAACACCCGCGATCCAAAGGTTCATCTTTCATTCATGCTAGCTAATGATAAAAATACTTCCAGCCTACGAGCATGAACTAGGATGAATTGATCACCCAAATGGTAGCTTTTGTTCCATCCATCTCTTACCTCCTACCCTCTCGGGCCGAATGGACTTCTCCAGGCTGCAACTGCATGGGGCCCGGGGTGCGACCATGGTCGACACAGGAAGGGACGGCATAGACTCCCACTCCAAGGAACACATCACCACACCGTTTCGAGGGGAAAAATGGTCTTCACCAGGGCCATGCATGGCCATGCCATCCACTTCCATGTAATGTGGAACCGAGTGTATCTAGGCCTTCAAAAGGAATCACCATGTGTAGAAGGTTCACTCAGCAAATCACTTTGGAACAACACCTCGCCCAAAAGCGAATCTGCTGAACTTGCGAGCGGCTCCATTTGGACACTAGCATTTTCAACTGAAGCAATATGCCCCGCGAGCTTCCAACGTGGCTTTTGAGCATCCTCCTTCAAGACCTTGCCCTGCTTCTCGAGTCTGTACAAAGCTGGGTTTACTTCTGCTTTGGTTTGCAGGCCAATGCCCTTTGCCACATCTAGGGTCGCCGTGAAATCTCTAGCACGTAGGAATTGCAGGACCTTCGCATCCATGGCATCCATGACGGCTTATTGGCTGGTACCAAACAGCTGCTACCAGAAAGGAACAAACATGTCCAACTGGTCGTGAAACAAGCAATCGTGCTGCTCCTCATCCAACTATTCATCCAACTACTCCACGAGTTACTTTCCGTCCCTCAAAAGATCCTCATCCAACTCCTCATCCACTCCCATCATCTTCTGCCACTCTAGTAGGACTATCCAACTCTCTCCTTCACGGTCACCGCCCTCGAAAACCCCCTATGGGCAGGTCCCACCTTCATGGGCAGCGAGCTCTTCTCGCCTTCCGGTGCGGACGTCCGTCCAGGTCGTCCCGGTACAGGCAATCCCATGGTTTGTCCCTCCCCTTTACAGGCAGTGAACTGACCCTGGGATCTCCAAAGGTCAAGTTGAAGGTCCTGCTATGTGTGAAAATAAATAGTTACTATATTACAGTATCTTATGCACAATAGATGTTTCACTTGGAGGTAATCGGAAACTCCAGGTAATTCCACAATTCGAAAGGATCACGACCTCTTACCACCGTCGTGAACCACCCTGGAATGTCAGAAAACCCCTTATTTATCATTGCTTATGATACTATGCTTGCAATTACGTAATTGATTTGTATTACGTTGTACAGTGAAAAAACATGAACAAAACAACACTTGGCGTGGGTTTTCACTGATCTCGCCTCTGGCATCCGAGCGCCTCTGTCACCACCTCGCTCCGTTTCCGACTGGGTTTGGGGTGGTCGCAGCCCTGTCGCATGTGACCCGGGATAGTACCCAGACACTCCATGTATGGTATATATGCCTACATTGACTCCTGAAACCACCCCAATGTATGTAAAATATGCCATACATACAGTGTCTGGGTATTTCTGGGTCATTCTGGATCAAACAATCAAGACCTGAAAAACCACTTAGCTGTTCAGCGATCCTTCTACTATAAGTCAGGTGGTCATGTTCTCTCGCCGTGCATTCCACTCTCCCAGTGACTTCAGTTAGCTGGATTTGCTGGTCTCCTCCCTTCAACAACGGGATCTAAAGGGTGTCTCTTTATCACCAACACCAATTCAAACACGCATGTTGCATGGAATCAATGTCCCCAAACACTCCATGTATGGAAGCTTTACATTGGACCCCGCAACCGATCGGTTGGCCCCGATCAAGGCCCGACCTCGCCCTTTCGGACGTCGAAGGACCAAAGCACCTTGGGTCCTCAAAACGAGGACCATTGAGTCGAGATAAAACATATCCAACTCAGTATTAGTCCCTATAAGAATCATTGGACCCTCCGAACTGGAGGGTTTTGACCCTGCATAGCAGGGGTTTGGACCCTCAAAACCTTCACCTTTGAGGGTCCTTGATTCTTAGGGGTAAGACATATTCAATGTCAATCACCAAAGATCAATCGGATGTCTGATCTTGAGTGTCTTCCGAAAGGCGGCTGCAACGTGGCCAGAACTTGAGCACTTAATTATAATCCATCTCGTCGAATGCTGGTGGAGACCCTCAACAAAACATTGGAAACAAAACAAACGAGAAGCCTTCGCTACGCCTTCGGAAATCAAACATGTTTGATACCCCAAACTACCCGGTGGACTACCCGGTGGTTGGAGGGTCGAGCGTGTCTTTGGACCACTGAGCTGCCGGCGCTGGACGGAGCTATGCCCACCCCGTTGACCGCGCGATCCCCGCGTGCGGAAGGCGCGCGTTCGCGCAGCTAGGTGGGCGAGGACAGGTCGGGGAGGTGAGGACAGGTCGGCTGTGGGCATTGAAGGTATCTAAAACCATCTAAAGCCCAAAAGATACTTGTGTCGCCTGTATATCGACCTGCCAGGTGAATCTTCAGTGCAAAGATATCGAGTTGGAGTTCCATAGAGCTTTTTGGGTCAATTTTTGTTGGTCCCTTGGCGGTGTCTTCCTTGCTACAGACCAGAAGATGTCCCCAAGAAAGCACAGTGGATAAGTCGCGCCAGGTGCTGCTCTAGAGATTGGAGGAAGTGTTTGAAGAATGGAATTGAACATCCTTTCACCCAAGCTCTGTGTGATTTCATCTTCATGGATTCAGACCCCCGCACAGGGGTTAAGACCCATGTGGTTGTTCTCCATGTTTGGGCGATGTGTTTCGCTGAGAGCCGAGGATGGCGCCAAAGAGGCGAGTGCTCCAAAACAAACTTGCAAAACAGAATCTGCTGGTCCACTGGTGGTGCAAATCGCAATATGCGAGGTGTCTCTAAGATCCTGTGCTGCCTAGAAGAGTCGGGGGTCACTGCGTATGAAAAAATCACACGGTGTTTGCTGAGCTTTCTATGTCCTCTTTCAATCACCTGCGCGGAGATCATCATCCAGTCGGCATCCTCTTCAGAGAATGCATGCATTCTGCATTCAAGCATTGATTGACCCCCCAGTCCGGAAGAACCATTTCCTCCAGTCTCTCCTCTCTCCAGCGCCAATCCGTGCTGCTTGGCAAGGTCAGACTGCTTGGCCAAGCTACCCTGCAAAGGACCACATGGACTCCCAAAACGACTGGGCCGTAGAGGAAACATATGGGAAAATGGTCTTCAAGTTCGGGTGAAACCTCAGGGTCGTTAGTCTGCGCGGAAAAACATCACCCCAAACTCTGAGAAAAACATCGCCAAATGTCAAGCTTTGGCTGAGGAATCGATTCCTCAGACTGGCTGGCTTTCTTCCCTGGCTTCCATCGACTCGTCAGGGTGATTCACTGTATGTCCTTGGATTCACCTCCAAACCTCCTGCAAGTCTACTCCAACAAATGTGCAGCTGAGTCAAATCTGATCCATCCATCCGTCCGTCCATCCATTCATCCCATGTTGTGTTGCCATGCTGGGAAACCAAAGGCAATGCAAAAGCCAAGGGTCTATGATGGTCTCTGTGCCATCTTCAAAACCCATCTATCAAGCAATAAACCATCTCTTCAACATCACTCTCACATCGGTTTCGAAACGAACCCTCCGTCCCGGTGGCATTGGCCTAGCGGTTGGATCCCCAGTCCGCCAGACCGATCACTTAGGGTGGGGCCATGATCCCATCGGCGGGCGACTCCCGACATCCGGAGTCCCCAACCCGAGCAACGTGGGCCTTCTTTCCTTCGTGTCGAACTAAGGACCACCAGGCCGAGTTGGCACCTTTTACTTGTCCAGAAATGGTGCACGATTCCCTCGAATCCTGATTCGGGTTCCAGCTCGCCGTTTTCAGCGCGTTCCTTGGCAGTGCCATTTCGTCAGTCATCCACGTCGTGAACGAACTGGGGACCCCCTGTCTTGCAGTCACAATCGACCCAAGAGACAGTGTCTCCGGCCATGGCTCAGTTGCTTTGGTTCATCTCTTGGACCCTCCTGGACCATCGACGCCATGGGACACACGACATGAGACATGGCCGAACAAGGACATTCTTGCTTGCCCAATGTTTGCTGCTGACAACAGGTGGTCTTAGCAGTACCTCCTCTTGGAATCCGATGGCCACTTGCTTGGGAGGGTCCTGGGTAACCTGGCCTTCCAGTCTCTTGGGCCTTGTGGTCCACCGCTCTTCTCAGCTGCTCTGTATCAAGCTTGGGGTCCCCTCACACGCACATGATCGAAGACTGCGAAGAGCTTTCTCACTGCTGCCACCTGGTCTGGTGGAAATCTGTTCACCATGACGGTGTTGCCATGTGTTGCCCAACAATTTGGTGAAAATGGGAGAAAAGTAGAGTACACTCCGAACATCCTCTTCCCTTTTGCGCCTCAAGAAGCCACACCTCAACCTGAAGAAGAAACCTGACAAGAAAAGAAACCTGGACCATCCAACGAGTGTCCAATGGAGATCCCTATAAGTAGTGTAGGGATGTGTAGGGCGGTGTTCCGCCACGACACCCAAACAGGATGCTCCTGCTTCAGAAACCGATGGTGTCCAAAACACATGGGACCCCTCTCGGGGAACGGCACAGACCTCCGCGGTGTTTCAAACGGTATCCCAGCCCCGAGGCGTTGGTTAAAGGGGCATTGCATTGCCAACCGCATATCCACACGCGGAAGGGTTCGGAACATCCGTTCTAGTGGTGCGGAGGACTCAATGGGCCCTGTCGGTCACTTCAGCGCGGTAGGCAAGCAGAAGCGTCCTCTTTCCGTAGTGAACCGCCACACGGAGTGGCTTTAAAGGTGAGCGCTCATTGGCGTGGAGCTTTTTGAACCCAAATGGATGAACCCAATTGAATCTGCAAGATAGAACTTGTTTCTAATATGTTTCTAATTGTTTCTAGTTTCTGTGAGTCTGGGAGATACTGAGCATTGGTTGGTGAAAAGAATCTGAAACACATTACATGTGGTGTTCGTTGCGTGGAAATAGGATGAAATGAGTTATGGGTGTGCCTCAATAGAAGCCAATATGGGTTTGATCATCTTGAATGATGCAAGCACGTTAAACCGCTTTCCTCTTGAAAGAAGTCTTTGAAGGCCCCCGCATCCCCTTTTCTCCTTCGAAACTGACTTCCGTGCCTTGCTTGGTGTGCAGACGCTTGCGTGGTACTTCCGTGTAGTCCATCTGCCGGTCCGGATTCCACCCGCATGCACCAAGCCCACGTGGGAAGTGTGGTTTCAAGCCAAAAACTCACCCACTGACTTTGAGATCCGCAAACAGACTGGACTTTCCTAGCATGTTGACTCATTGTGTATCCATTTCTTTGTTCCAATGAAAGCTGGCATGACAGTGATGTCCACTTCATGTGGGACTATATTTGTATAGAACGTCCAATGGCATTCGTCCCAGCGTGGTCCCCAGATGCGAACGGCGCCGGAACGGGCGCCTCGCCGCGTCTCTTCCGCAAGAGTTGCTGCAGCTGACTCCAGCTCCGCTTCTCCCTGAGCAACAGCGACTTTGGAGGGACTGTGGTCGCAATCCGATGTATAGAGAGCAGTCCCAGACCATCCATGGGACTGGAATAGTTCAGAACAGGGGTTTAACTAGTGTCAGTGTATGATATGTATACACATGGATGGTCTGGGAGTTGAACATAAACCATATCCAAACACGACCGCTGGGACTGGCACAGGTGACCCCTTGAAAAACCACCCTAATGGTCAAAGTATATGCCAGTCCCACCGGTCGCGTCTGGGATATCACTCGACGCTTTCCTCCGTTTTGTTCGAAACCCGCCACTGAGACTCCATCCCTTAATGGCACTGCCTGAGACAGAATCGGAGTCTTTTTGCGATGTCAGTGTGTCTGTTGCGTGATCCCTATAGATAAATATATAATCAGGGATCAACATGATCAAACGCTTTTTATGGTGCAATGCCACAAATCCCAGGCCATCCATGTGTACCATGATTTATATTGATTTATCGCATCCAAATGACCCATTCATGTCAAATGACCCATCCATGTAAGTACCTCTTCCATACATGGAATGGATGAACATGGATGACACCCGGACCCAAAACCCTCCTTCAGTCCTTGAAGGGCCACCAGTCTTGAGACTGGTTGACTGGACCCAAACTCACTGGCTTCTTGGGGAGGGCAAAGGTGTTTTGACCAATGCACATCCACCTACCCACGGTGTCCAACTCGTGACGACGACTCCCAGTCGCTCCAGTCGTACCGGTACGACTGGCCCAACCGGTATGCCTCGCGTGGCTCGTCCTTGCCTCGTCTGCAGCACCAGGCGCCTCACCCGGCCGAAGGCCTTCGAGGCACTTCGACCGGCCTCCTGGCTCGGCAGCGCGACCGGCGAGCCTGGTGGATCCTTGAAGATCGCCCCAAAAAACCGACGGATTGGATGGGTTTTTACATGGTTTAACATGGTTTAACGATATATATATAATACTTGAGAGGAGGGAGACACGAAAGGTAGGACAGCGGGAAGAGAACGCGAGAGGCAGGAACAAAAATGCAATGTTCGACATGGTGATTTATCCCCTCGGAGGCGACCTTCCGTAAATATATGTTCATATGCACTCTTAATGTTCAAACATATGCTCTCGAAATGTTCACAAAGATTCTTAGGAAAACAAACTTGCCCCATGGCTCAGATCATCGGTGAGCATTAAATCGGAGCATCACAGGATTTAAACTATCCTGAAACCATAAGAGGCTCACGAAGACGGTCCCCAGGAGAGAATTGACGTGCTTCACAAAACAAACTCTAGGTATGTATCCCCTCGGGGAACACCGTTCGTGATTAGAATTTCATATGCCGCACTCTTTCTGAATGTTCAAGAGGATTTCAACTATCCTGAAATCATGAGAGGCTCACGAAGACGTTCTCCAGGAGAGAATTGAATTTAGAAGGGGGGGGGTCGGTATTGAAAAATCAATTCTCCTTCTTCGAAGGGGGGGGAGGGGGGTTGAATTGAGCAATCAATTATTCGACCCGGACTCGCCGACAGTTGCTTCGCAAGACAAGCTCAAGGTAGGCCCCTAAAGGGCTACCTTTCGTGATATAGCCTTCCCTTCCTTTTCCCACTGGTCACCATTCAGTCTGTTTCTGGGAGGAGTCGATTTCCCCACTATCTCTTCTTATCTTGAAGAACCATGGAAAACTCTCTCATCCAGAACACACTGTCTTCTTTGATTTCCACCAAAAGCTCCTTTTCGTCACTAGTGACGATCGTCTTCAAACCCAAAGAAACACACGTCGCTTCATTCCAACCCGCTCCTGGTGCAGTGCTCCGTGGGTCTGGCGCACACGTTCCAGCACCTCCTCGTTCGACTTGGGAATGCACGACCGCTCCGGTCCAACGGTGGCTGGGCTCTTAAAGAGTGGGATCCAACTCTTCCAGTCCCAATACTAGGAACAAGAATCAATACTGTACTAACTATATATATATATAGTAATGTTCTATATGAATGGATCGTACTAAGTAGTCATAGTTCTGCGATCCAATCTTCAACACGCAGTGTCCCAACCACTTCGGCTCCAAAGACGGGTCCGACGAGTTGGTGAAGGGGGCAGAACGAACGCAGTGGAGCCGGTCACCAGTTCCAAAGACTGAAAAAGCGTAGACCGGCGTAGACCGTAGACCAGTTCCATCCTGGTTCCTAAAACTATACCAACTGGGATCCAATGGTAATAGTACTGTGCATTGAGTGCGTTATGGACCTGGTGTCAAAGATTTGGCCCGCTTTGACTTCAGAACAAGGGTGTTCACCCATCCGAGAAAGGACAAGTTGACAGACATACCATGACATACCCTTTCCTCTATTCCCGAACCACCGTCCAAAAAGATCTGCCCATAACGCGACTTCGCGGAAAACCCCGCGACTTCACCGTGTGACTTCGCCAGAGACACTCTCTCTCTCTCTCTCTTTTCGACGAAGGCTTTCAAGCGGAAGTTGGGCGGCTGCAGGGGATAGCGCTTCACGACCGAGGTCGCAGTGGTGTCATCGTACTGTAAGACGTAGAGCCACCCATCGAGGACCTGGTGGAAATCGGTGGAGAAAAAACGGCACAGTCCTCACAAGCAGAACCCAACGTCGGCCTTCGGGGACCGAATTAAACAGCTGGAAGACAAAAGACTTTTCCTTTACAAAGCTAGCTGCTAGCTGCTAGCTAGCGTGTTCCCTAGCAAAATCCTCGTGTCTTGTTGCAACATGAAGGCGTTTTCACCCAACCAATGATCCTCCACAATCACCGAAGCACGAGCCTCAGAGAGAGGTGCTACCAGTGCTACCGGGTGACCAGGACTCAGATTCCCCGCTGACTGAACGAGTGATGCCAGTTGGTACGGACCCAAATGGGTCAGACATGGATGGGGAACCAATGGGAACCATATGTACATGGATGGTCAAACATGTATATAACTCTTCAAATTCCATGGATCTGGGGATCTCCCTGGATCTCCGACATCCACTTGAGTTGACTGGACTTCAAGAAAGACTGCTTTGTGGTTTCTCCTTGATGGGGCCAGGTGTTCTTTTTAGCGAATCAAAGACCTTCCAGTCGTTTCACCACTGTCACCACTGCAGATCAAAGGACTTTGAGATCTTCGAACTCTTCGTGAGCCCCCAGAGCCTTGGTGGCAGGGCATGTCGATCATGGACGTGGACCAGCCACTGCGGCCACTGCGGCCACGTTTTATCGGGTCCAGATGTTTGGTCGAAGCTGCGTGAGTCGGAGGCTGAGGGGAGGTTCCGAAGCAAAAGTAGATCAAATCAGTGTGATACGCATCAAAATGATTCGACCTTGATTGTATGATGATTCACCCACAAACAAAAAACCATCAACCCACCAGATATTGACTGCACCTATTGATGGCCAGCTGTTCCGCCCCATCGTTTCATGATCGACATTGCGCTGCACAAGAAACAATTATATAAAACAAGTTATCATGGAAAATGCCCGGGCAATTTACAGGATTCTATAAACATCCGTGATGGTGACAGCTGGCCACTTATTTCAGAAGCTCCAATCAACCCCCAAAAAAATGGAAACCACTTAGCCAGCTCCATCTACACCAACTCGATGCGGAACCCATCCACGCCAAAAATTGAAGATCTAGATATGGATGAAAACAAGACCGATGGTGAACCATACCATCTTCATCCAGCGCACGACACACTGGCTACACAAAACAATGTATAGTATTAACGTAATGAGAATCCTCCTCTTGCTCCTACTCTTCATGTCCTCCTGAAACGATCAACATCGATCAACCGTCTTCACCCGGCATCCAAAAAGTTGTCACTGTCTGACTGCAGGCAACGGCATCGTTCAAGAAGACGTACCCGTCCTGGTGACCGGGGAAGTAGGTGCTGATCCTCGCATCAGAGGCGTAACGTCACGGGCGGTGACCGACGTCCGGCGCCCAGGCGAAGCAAGAAACCACGCAGAGATTCGACTTGGGAACGAAAGGATTAAAAGCTTTCACCGAACGATCATGGGTTAAATACCATGTTTCACCGAACACATGTTGGTCAAGCTTTCTTTTTTATGGTCTTGGAAGATCTTGGTATAGGTGTGTATCGGAAGAAAGGGAGATGACGAGTTAATATTCTATTTTGATTTGTCCTGTGACTGTGACTGCGGGTCGCATGGGTCTCCCTCTTGTTCTGCGCAGCAAAGATCAAGTCCTTTGCCATCTTGAACCCTGACATTGACCCTCGGCCTTGCAAGTGATGGCCAGGACTGCTTCTGAGGGTCAAGTCTTGGGCAAAGTAAGTCTTTTTCCCGAAAGCATTGCGAAGGGTTCTTCCGGAAAATCCTTTGAACACTGACACTTCGCCACTTACACTTCACCACTTACACTTCGACACTCACACTTACACACACTCACACACTGGAAGAGCGAAAGCATCCAAGTGCGAAGTATGCCAGTGTCAAAGTATGCAAGTGTAATGATGAGTATGCAAGCATGCAATGACTACGCAAGCATGCAATGAGTAGGCATCAAAGTATGCAAGTGTAATGATGAGTATGCAAGCATGCAATGACTATGCAAGCATGCATGCAAGCATGCAATGAGTAGGCAAGTGTGAGCATGGAAAATGAGCGTGGAAAAAAATGAGCATGGAAAACTGGCACGGGAGATGTCCTAATGAAAAAACATTTCCCCACTTTATAAATTCTCTCTTAAAGGCGGAGGGTGGGACGAACAGCGTCAACCGAAAGTGCAACCCTCTGCGGAGATCGTGCGTGTCGAGTGCGCGAAATGCAGGTGAGAGCGCGATTCGTCCGGTGTGCGCGCGACCCTCTGCGGAGATCGTGCGTGTCGAGTGCGCGAAATGCAGGCGAGAGCGCGATTCGTGAAATTACCGCGCAACCCTCTGCGGAGATCGCGCGTGTCGAGTGCGCGAAATGCAGGCGAGAGCGCGATTTGTGAAATTACCGCGCAACCCTCTGCGGAGATCGTGCGTGTCGAGTGCGCGAAATGCAGGCGAGAGCGCGATGTGTGAAATTACCGCGCAACCCTCTGCGGAGATCGTGCGTGTCGAGTGCGCGAAATGCAGGCGAGAGTGCCATTTGTAAAATTACTGCGCAACCCTCTGCGGAGATCGTGCGTGTCGAGTGCGCGAAACGCAGGCAAGAGTGCGATTGGCGCGGTCCGCGCGCAACCCTCTGCGGAGAACGTGCGCGTCGAGCGCGCGAAAGCAATCTGTGGAGCTGGAAGCTGAGAACTGGCGACTTTGTAGTACAACTTTAGTACGCGGAGTAGCTGGGGAGTGGGAAGATGAGAACTGGCGAGTGGGTAGTACAACTTGAGTACGCGGAGTATCTGGGGAGCTGGAAGATGAGCACTGGCGACTTTGTAGTACAACTGTAGCACGCGGAGTAGCTGGGGAGCTGGAAGCTGAGAACAGGCGACTTTGTAGTACAACTTTAGTACGCGGAGTAGCTGGGGAGTGGGAAGATGAGAGCTGGCGAGTGGGTAGTACAACTTGAGTACGCGGAGTATCTGGGGAGCTGGAAGATGAGCACTGGCGACTTTGTAGTACAACTGTAGTACGCGGAGTAGCTGGGGAGCTGGAAGCTGAGAACTGGCGACTTTGTAGTCCAACTTTAGTACGCGGAGCAATCTGTGGAGCTGGAAGCTGAGAACTGGCGACTGTGTAGTACAACTTTAGTACGCGGAGTAGCTGTGGATCTGGAAGCTGAGAACTGGCGAGTTTCTAGTACAACTTTAGTACGCGGAGCAATCTGTGGAGCTGGAAGCTGAGAACTGGCGACTTTGTAGTAGAACTTTAGTACGCGGAGTAGCTGGGGAGCTGGAAGATGAGAACTGGCGACTTGGTAGTACAACTTTAGTACGCAGAGTAGCTGGGGAGTGGGAAGATGAGAACTGGTGAGTGGGTAGTACAACTTGAATACGCGGAGTATCTGTGGAGCTGGAAGATGAGCACTGGCGACTTTGTAGTACAACTGTAGTGCGCGGAGTAGCTGGGGAGCTGGAAGATGAGAACTGGCGACACACACTACCACACACACACACACACTTTGACACTGGTTTTCCGTTAAGCTCAATTTCTCCGATGGGAAGAAAGGTGATGGAACGGCAAGGTGAACAGGTCCGGTGATTTGAAATGTTGAACATGGTTTCACTCGCTCTGCTGGCTGCACTGCACGAACGGCGGAAGGCTGCGGCGGGAAACCTGTTTGTGGGGAAAGTATCGTGTGGAACCACCATGAATCAAACCAAAAGATTGGACAGCGTGTTCAAAAGTTGTAGCAGGTACGCAGGGTTGATCGGACCCTGCTTCCCACTCTCGCCCACAGCTTCGTTGCGTGTGGTAGGGCGAGAGTGCCACACGCCCCTGCCTGTGTAAAGTGGAACGAGTTGTGGTGAAAGACCCTTTGTCCAGGGTGGGACACACACAGGTCGCCGCATTCGGCGCTTTTTTCAAAAACCGGTGGCAGGCGTGGTAATTATGCCCCTTTTGGACATATAGGTTCACGAGTTCAGCCGCAGCAGCGTCAGCGCTGGAGGGTGGAAATGTGTATTTTCGAATGGTGTGGAGTCGTGATTGGAGGCCTGATAGAGCCAAGCGCTGGCTCCCGGCGGTGGTGGAATCCCGGATTTTCCAGGGTTGAGAAGGTTGCATGTAGGTGATAGTGCGTTGTGGGAGGTCGATGTTGAAACCGAGGAGATGAAAATCCTCCACCGGTTCAAGTTCCACAGGGTCGCCAAAGAAATTGTGGTGGATGAGGGTTTGGATAGCCGGGTGTTGGAGGAAATGTTCGTTGTGGACAATGAAACGGTTGTCGACATA